TGGCAAACCACTTCCATATCTTTGCCACAGAAAACCCCAAAGGGTTTCGCAAAGAGTCAGACAAGACTGAAACAACTGAACAAAATCAGATAGCTGAACTAACTGATCTCTGTGGACCTTAGTGAATCTCTAAGAATTCAGTGATCTTTTGTGTTATAAAAAGAGAACAGAGAATAAGCACTGCTGACATTCAGTTTCCTCTCCCGCCTGTCCTCCCACCTTTTGCTCCTGGTCCCAGAAGAGCCAAGCATGTGACACTCTCCTTCCTCTATCTAAAGGAGCCAGAGCTTCTTGTGGTAGAGCATGTGAGACATTGATAATGGCCGAGTATCAGGCACATTTCCTGCAATGTGACACTGCCCTGGCTCTTCTCTCTTTGTGGGTCAGTACAACGAAAGAATGACAAGGCCATCAGTTGTTGTACAAGAATAACTGGTGCTGGGAAACTCCCTGGCCCTTTCATCCTTCCCAGACCTGAAGCTGCGGGGCGTTTTGTCTTGTGTGTGGCAGATGAAACCTTGTAAAGCCTTTTTAGAGGCCAGAATCATTGATCTCTAGGTCCCTTCTGTAGATGTGCCCAGGGTCACAGGTGGGTCAGAGGCAAGAGTTATAGACAAGTCATCCTGAATCTGAGGCCAGCTTCCTATGCACCATCACATTGCCTCAAAGTCCAGACTTAGAAGTATAAACACATCTTCAACCCATCAAACCAAAGTGGATCTGTGACAAAAGGACAATCCTCATGGAATATGTTATAAGGAAAAGTGAATTTTGAATAGAATGCTAAAGGGAAATCTCAAGTCTAGGCTAAATACCACCATCTTTTATATACATATATGTATACATACATACATACATACATACATACATACATATCTTATACGCATACACACAAATATATGTCTATGTATATGAACATGTATGTAACTATATGAATGAAGGGACAGGGGACTGTAATTATGATTTCATTGATATAAGGAATTCTTATATGAGGAAACTCCTTCTGCAATGCATGTGGGTACCTTCTCTGAAACCTAGTTTTCAGGAGTTGCCTAGAACACTGAGAGGTCAAGTCATATGCTCAGTCACCCAGCCAATAGATAGCAAAGGTAGAATATGAACCCAGGTCTTTATGGTTCCAAGGCCAAGTCTGTGGCTTCTACACCTAGTCCACCTCTTGTGATTACATATAAATGAATGAATGAATGAATGTGTGTGTGTACATGTATGTATATATATCTCCACACACATACATATATACATTTATATATGTTTATATATACATACATATACTCATGCATACATATGTGCACACGTTAATAGCTATAAAATTAGGCTTACATTATTATATTATAATCATATAATGGCATTATATTACATTACATATGTAACACATGATATATATACACAACATTGTATGTATATGTACATCTATGAATATGTGTGTGCGTGTATGTGTGCATATGTTGTTTTTCAGTTGTTTTAGTCATGTCTGAGTCTTCATGACTTTGGGATTTTCTTGGCAAAGATATTGGAGTAGTTTGCCATTTCCTTCTCCAGCTCATTTTACAGATGAGGAAACTGAGGCAAACAGGATTAAGTGACTTGCTGAGGATCATACAGCTAGTAAGTATCTGAGGCTAGATTTGAACTCAGGTCTTCCTGACTACAGGCCAGGCACTCTATCCACTGAGCCACCTATTTATGTTATTGTATATTGTGTATCATATATACATACTCAGAAATGCTAAATGAATGAAGAGCTTCCCCCATGTTAAAATTGATTTGAGTTTAAACACAAATAATATAGAGTAACCTTAATCAGAGAGAACAAAATCTGTCCAGACATATTTCAAGCTGCGGGGTGTTCTCGGTCTCCCTGGATTAGGCACTGTGATAAACACCCCAACTTGGCTTTTATCATTCACTTACCCAGTGTTTGTACTTTTATATGTGGGCTGATGCCAGTATGGTGACCAAGGCAATTAATTAGCCTCATAGGCAGACCCTAGATATATTTCTAGAACCAAACTAGAACAGTCATCTAGTAAGACAGGTGAAATAGTTGGACTCTAGGTGGTTCGGAATCATCTGCCTATGCCCTTCAGTAGGAGAAATGAACAATGGTTACAGGTACCTCAAGTAGCTGGAATCGACTGGCAGAGAAGTTAGAAACCAAAGGATGTTTTTTACCTGAGCCAGGGTGAGGTCCAACCTCCTTCATTTGGCATTCAAGGCCCTCCATGATTTTGTCCCTAACCTTCCTTTCCAGATTTCTATCTCACTTCTTCTCTATTTGAGCCCTATGTTCTAAGAGCCAGAACGACCTGTCCCCTAACTACCTGGCCCCCAAAGTACCTTATACTTCACTAGTGCTGTCTTTTGTTCTTGCTGTCCTCTCTGTTTGACGTGACCTCCTTTTCCCCTCTCTGTCTGCCTAAATTCTGCGCATACTTTGTGACCCAGTTGAAATGCCGTGGCTTTTTCTCACACAACTGCACGGCTCAGTCACCTGTAGCACCTACCTTTCAGGGTTGTTGTGAGATCAAATGGGATCAAGCTTAGCATGTGCCTGGCACATAGTAGGTGCCATATAAATACTTATTCCTTCTCCCCCCCCCACATATCTGACAATTTATCGTGTACCATCTCATCTTATCTCTGAAATTATTGTCTTGCCTTGATATTTTTTTTTTATCGTTTTCCTCTAATTGGATTGTAATGTAAGCTCTTTGAGCGCAAAGCCTCAGGCTCATAGTTGTTTCTCTTTCAGGGTTTTGCTAGCAGTTTATTGATTAGTCAAGAAGTAACTTTCCACTTGCTGGAATAACAATGAACAGGGACAGCCAGAAGCAGAATTATAAATAGCAGAAATTAGTGTGCAGGATCCCCAGCCTTCCCTTTAATCACTCTTTGCCATTTCTTCTGCAGGCATTGTCCTGTCTCTTCCTTCCTACCCCCTCCACACATTCATATTTCCAATTCCTTTCATGTTCTTTCTTTCTTTGTAAGAGTTGGAAAGGACTTTAGAGGCCTAATTTCCTATTCAGAGATGAGGAAACTGAGGCCCACAGAGGTGACATGGGACTTGCCCAAGGTCACAAAGGTAGTAATTTTCAAAGTTGGACCTCTGTCTGACTCCAGGTCCAAAACTCTTTCAGCTATACCAGTTTTCCTGATGATTAAAACCAGGAAAGCATCTGATCTCAGTCATTTATACTTTAGTGTAAATAAACTTGTCCATCTGTTTCGTTTCATATGAGAGGTTTACATTTTAATGTCTTTTAACTTCTTGTGAAAGGCTTGGTTTTTCTTAATGAGATTTCAGACAAATTTGGAAACATCGGGTCCTTTCCTAAGCACCTTTAAAATGATACTGTGTCAGCCGTGATCTACTTTTGTTTTGTATAAGACTGACCCTGCCCATGGCCATCAACAACAACTCTTCCAATATAAAATTCTAGTAAAACATAGAGAACATCTCCAGCAAAGAGTTAACAATGAGTTATATTTTTATTTTAACTAGTAACTATTTCTCAACCTATCTTGTGAGCTCAAGCTCAACCCAGGATAGATAGATGGATGGATAGATAGATGGGGGAGGAAAGGATACATACATACATACATACATACATACATACATACATATAGAGAGAGGGGAAGGGAAGGATACATATATACATACATATAGAAAGAGGGGGAGGGAAGGATACCCATACATACACATAGAGAGAGGGGGAGGGAAGGATAGATAGATAAATACATACATACATACGTACACATAGAAAGAAGGGGAGGGAAGGAGAGAGAGAGAGAGAGAGAGAGAGAGAGAGGAGAGAGAGAGAGAGAGAGAGAGAGAGAGAGAGAGAGAGAGAGAGAGAGAGAGGCAGATAGGAGAGCTTGAAAGGGGTTGAGTGAGGAAGGATACTAGAAGGAAATGATGTTGTGGAGGAGAAAAAGGGAAAAAAAATATTTTTAATTTGCCTAAGAAGGGCCCCAGTGTTTCCAAGCTCAAGTCTGAAATTCCATCAACAAAAAACAAAGCTTTCCCAAGAGGTTAAAAGACCTTAAAATATAACATCCCACATGAGAGGAAATAGATCGACATAAGCTTATTTACACTAAAGTATAAATGATTGAGATCAGGTACTTCCCTGGTTTTAATCATTGGGAGAACTGCTGTAACTGAAGGAATTTTGGATCTGGAGTCAGAGGAGGAGGAAGAGAAGACTTCTAGAGAGTTCAGTCGTGAATGAAAGGAAGAATGACTGGGGTCCCTCCTGAACAGTGGTCTGGACAGGCCTGTTACTTCAACAATTAAATAAAAACTTTTCTAGCATTCTTAGCCTTGCCTCAACTCATTTTTCCAGCTTTGTTACAAATTGCTCCCCTTGTTCCTAATACCACATGCTCCATTTCCTATCTTTGTGTCTTTTTATTCCCCATACTTATTCCTTCTCTCTACCTTTTAAGGTCCCTAGTCTCCAAGTCAACTCATATACTACCTCCTAATAAGGCCTTTCCTGATCCTCCAGCTGCTGGTGTCCTCTTGCCCCCAAATTGCGTTGTATCAATTTTGGATATGTCTATACACGTACATATTTCCTTACCGAATAGAACACAGGTATCTCAGTGCACAGAGTGCCGGGCTGGAGTAAGGGAGACTCATCTTCCTAAGTTCAAATCTGGCCTTGGACACTTACTAGCTGGGTGACCCTGGGCAAGTCACTTAAGCCTGTTTTGCCTCAGTTTCCTCATCTGTAAAATGAGCTGGAGAAGGAAATGGCAAACCACTTCAGTATCTTTGCCAAGAAAACCCCAAATGGAGTCACAAAGAGTCAGACACACTGAAAAACAACTGGACAACAATAACAAACTATAGTTGCTTGTGCTCTCAATAGGGTCATATGAGAAACTGCTTGTATTAATGTTGCATTTTAGCATTACTGAAAATAAAATAAATTTAAAGCTAACCTAACTTTCTTTTTTCTCTTCCGTAGGTCCACCAAGATCAGCATTATGACTGATGGTGACTATGATTATCTAATCAAACTCCTGGCCCTTGGAGATTCAGGGGTGGGGAAGACTACATTCCTTTATAGATACACTGACAATAAATTCAATCCCAAATTCATCACTACAGTAGGAATAGACTTTCGGGAAAAACGTGTGGTGAGTTTTTTTAATTTAACTTACTCTTCAGGTGCTTCTTTCACATAAAGATGGAGATGCTTTCATTAAATAACATTCATGGGGCAGCTTGGTGGCACAGTGGATAATGCACCAGTCCTGGAGTCAGGAGACTTTGACTTTAAATCCAGCCTCAGACACATAACACTCACTAGCTGTGTGACCCTGGGCAAGTCACTTAATCCCAATTGCCTCACCAAAAAAAAAAAAAACCAGACACAGTAAATAATATCCATTTACTTCTTGTAGTGAAACTCATGATCTTTGGCAGTTCTTTTTGATATATAACCCTACATGTTCCCATCTAGTGAGAAAATAATCCTTGGATGGGAAGGATACATTCCTCATTGACAATGACACTCTATAGTTTGTTTAAATATAAAGAATATTTTATACAGCTACAGGAAATCCATGTGAGTAGCACATTGTAGAAATCTTCCTAAGAGGTTGTTCTAAAACTTTAAAACTGCATTCCTTTAGAATCCATTGACTTTTTAAATTTGGGTCAAATTGGATTCTATCAGTAAGAACTAAAGTTAAACTCTTTGTCTTAAGCAAAAGGGCCAAAAGCTTCCAAAAATGACTAAGTCCTGAAGGGTACACACAAGGCAAGCACAACTTCATGAGTATTCTATTGATTAAGAGACAGTATAGTATAAGAGAAAGAGCGTTCTGAAGTCTCAAAGACCCGGATTCAAATCCCATCTCTGAGATTCATTACCTTGAGTGACGTTAGGCAAGATACTCAATCATAGTCCAATCCATCCAATCTCTCTCATCTCAGTTTTTTTCAATTGTTCCACATTCCTATAGAATTAAGTATAAACTTAAAAAAGAAATTGTACCTGTGACTTCCTCTGGATAGGAACCTCCCAGTGAGGAAACTCCCTCTACCAATGCAGATGTATACCTGCTATGCATACTCTTAGAGTGTTTTTTGTTGGCACTGAAAAATTAGGCAGATGGCCTAGGCTTACACAGCCAATATGAGTCAGAGACAGGAACTGAACCCAGGTCTTCTTGACTCTGAGTCTGGCTCACAATACACTATGCAATGTTGTTTCTCATTAACTTGACATTTAAGGTCATCTATAATATAGTGCTATTATTTAATCTGAAATGTTTTGTAACCTTCTGTTCCAGATAAGTTGGACTATTAGTTGTTACTCAGCTTTGTTCCACCTATCCCTGCCTCAATATATTTGCACACCCTATCTCCCATGCCTGGAATTCCCTTTTTCTATAACTTTTCTCTTTGAAATTGTTCTCTTTCTTCAAGTCCCAGTTCAGGGCCATTTCTACCATGAATTTTCCCCGAATCTCCTCTCTAACTCCCAACACCCAACTACAAGTGATCTTTTCCTCTTTAAATTTCTTATAGCACTTTGGCTAGATTTCTTGAGGGCACAGACTATGTTTTTGTTCATTTTGGTAGCTCTGACACCAGTCATGGTGTAGACACTTAATATTTGTTCAATCACAGATATGAGAATAACCCAATCACTCTTCAGGGAACATGCTAACAAGAATGGCTTTATTTGAGTATATTTACTTTCCTTCCCAGTAGTAAATACCTTTTATAGGAATAGAGATATTGTCATGTATGAATATCTGACCTAATGGAAAGAGTGCCAGACTTAGGGCCTGGATGATGAAGATCTTGGGCAATATACTTAACCTCTAAGAGCCTCAGTTTCTTATTTGTAAAATTGAGTAGTAGTGGTCACGCTCATAAGATCATAGATTTAGATTTGAAAGGAACCTTAAAGACCATGAAGGCCAACTTTCTCATTTAAGAGATGAGGAAACAGGCCCAGAAAGGGTAGTGACTTACTAAGGGTCGTATTTCTATAAATGTGTTACTGTTTTTTCTTGTTTTTCAGTTGTGTCCAATTATTCATGACCCCATTTGAGGTTTTCTTGACAAAGATACTGGAGTGGTTTGCCATTTCCTTCTCCAGCTCATTTTACAGATGAGGAAACTGAGGCAAACCAAATTAAATGGCACACCCAGGGTCACACAGTTGGAAGTATCTGAGGCCAGATTTGACCTCACAAAAATGAGTCTTCTTGACTTTAAGCCTAGCGATCTATCCACTGTGCCCCCTAACTGCCCTCTGTTACTGTTAGATACACACAAGTTGGACTACTTGGATTCACTTCCATTAAAGCCATTGTTGATGGCCAAAGGCATCAGGACCAGCTGTGTTGCTGTGTGATTGTTGCTCATGACAGAAGACTTCAGTGTGTAAAATTGGATAATTTTCAGTCCCCACTCTCTCTTCAGGTCCATTTTCTAAAAGAGAACTTAGCAAGAGTACCAGACTCCCTGCACTATAGGCCTGAGGGTCACTGACTAACCACTCCACTATCTGCAAAGTCAACACAGGTTGTTTTTATTTCATTTTGTTTTTACAAGAGAATTTCCCTTTTTAATGTTAGTTATAGTATAAATTAAAGTTAGTAATAACTAAAAATGGTCAGGGGAGATACTGGTCAAATGCATAGGTCTGGTGAAATAGCAATTGCTACTCCCCAGTCTTAATTGTCAGTCGCTTGACATTTATTTGGAGCCTAGTGAACCTGAAATAAAGTGTGAGAGCTAGTGTTGTGAAGAGAAATAAAGCAGTGAACAGAGGGAAGCCCTCTACTCAAGGAGCAAAGCTAAGGTATCCAGGTAACATTCTCTGTCTTTACTCATCATTCCCTTTGGCCCAGAGGACCAATTGCTTGGATGTTGTCCCAAGGATTCGTATATAGAGAAAAGGTCCTACTGGTACCAAAATATTAATTGCTACTTCATATTATTTGCGTAAGCTGTATGTCCCATGATTGCAAATGGTGAAGTAATTTATGGTATGTTAATAGAATGAAATATTTGCTATCATGTCATAATAATGAGAAATGTGAAAAATGCATAAACATGGAAAGATTTATATAAAGTGATGCAAAGCAAGGTCAAAAGAATGGAAAATAGGAGCACACACTGATCATAACAATACTAAAAACAAAAGGCAACAAAATTTTATAAATACTCAAATGGATTTGGCAGAGAAACATAAGCATAAATAAATTGTTAAAATTTGTAGCATATAATTACTTTCCTATTTAACAAGGAAATAGTTTGGAATTTTAAGATTTTAATTAAAGATTTACTCTACAGTCTTATGTGTTTATACTTGTTGAATTCAAGTTTATAATAATAAAATAATTCTTCAAAGATAACGTACACTATTATTGTCTTACCAGATGCAGTCTAGTATGGTGGATAGGACAGTGGTGTCAGGGACAGAAAGACTGTGGTTCAAATGCCCCCTCAGATCTTATTAGCTCTGTTACCCTAGAAAATTTGCCCTACCTCTCTGTGCCTCTGTTTCTTCAACTGTCAAAGGATATGGTTAAACTTGGTTAACCTTTAATGGTCCCTCTCAGATCTAAAATCTACAGTCACTAGGCCAATTCAGGAATTTTTTTGGCTTGATTATTCACATTGGTCACAAAGGCTTTATTTTTCTTCATTTTTCCCCCAGGGGAGGGAAAGAAAATTTATTTTGTTCATTGAAAAAAAATAAAATTTAATTTTAAAAAATAACTAAGATCTATGAGTCTTAGTACCATTCTAATGTTCAATTTTTCTTCAAAAATTCAATCCTGGTCAAGACCTTAGCAATCTGGAGATTGCTAGGTCTAAACATGAGTTTGTTCCTGTCTTGGATTGTCTCGATTATGAAGAGGTATTTAACATATCTTTTGTCTAGGAGTGTAGGATGCACTTTACAATTGTATTATTTTTGGCAATTCCTGGAAACTTGAAGACAGTTTCTTCCTCTCTATTTTCCCATGTGAAGTATTTTCCAGTAACTCTTGATCCTGAGTTCTGTTTAAACAGAAAATGTTCTGTTTTGCTTGATTTCATTAAAAAGCAATAGACACCAATTTAAAATGAAATATTTTCTTTTAAGACCATGGTAACCATGGTTAATACAGGAATCTGTTAAAGGCCTGATGGAAATTCATCACAAAAATATGATACCTACTACTATATTGTTTTGCCATTTCAGCAGCGGCCGCCATAATCAAAGACATTCAAGTGAGGAAGGTATTCAGAATTTACTTATGAGGATAATGACAGATTGTGCTCAGGTAGTAAGACTAAAGATTTTTGAAAACCTAGCATTTATAGTCCGTTTTCTTCATACAAATTCTTAAGTACTTATTGTTAGATGATTGTGTTTACAGTAACATTTTTGGGAAACAGAAGAGATATTTATTTAAGATTTCTGCGAACTTTGACAACAGTGACTTAAAGAAGGTGTGGAAGTGAGAGAAAGTAGATAACATTGATGAAGCAATCTACTGTTGCTGCTTCAGCTGAATAATGAATTGATGATTTTTATATTTGTATATTTCAGGTATATAATGGTCGAGGACCAAATGGATCTCCAGGAAAAGCTTTTAAGGTACATCTTCAGCTTTGGGATACGGCTGGACAGGAAAGGTAGGTATAGTAATAACAACATTAACAATAATAGTAGTGACAGCTCACATTTACATAGTACTTCATAACATAAAAAGCACTTTACTCATAGCAAACAACCCTATGAGGTAGGTAGTAGTATTATTCCCATTTACATATAAGGAAATTGGGGTTCAGAAAGGTTAAATGATTTACCCGGGATTGCACAACTTGTAGATATTACATCCTGGGCTCCTGCACTAATCTTCTGGTTTTCTTGTAGGCAACGTTGCACTTTTTAGCTTCTAGCTTTAAATTTCTAGTGACCCAAGACGTTTTCTGAAAATTGCTAATATCGATGAGTAAAACTTCTGGCAATAATCATAGTTAAAATATACATAGTGATTTTAGGTTTGCAAAGCATTTTATACTTATTATCTCTCTTGATCCTCATAGCAGCTCTCGTTAGGTGCTATTAGTATCCCCATTTTACAGATCAGGAAACTGAGTCTGAGTGGTTAAATGACTTGCTAGCTAATGACTTAGCTAGATATAACTAAGGAATGTATAAGTCAGGATTCAAATTTAGGTCCTCTTGACTTCCAGATCAGTGCTCTTGTTCACGAGTCACAAAATAAGTATCTATAAAACGAGAAGGACCATGGGTATAGTGGAGTCAGAAATATCTGGGATCATCTCACCTCTGACACAGACATGTAATTATCCCTGAAAACAAGGCAACTCTCCTAGTTATAGGTGGATTGTGACCTGCCTTGTGGGAGGGAGTTCCCACAGGTACAAAACCAGACATCATTGTCATTTTGGTGTGTTAAGATATAAAAATGAAGTATTTCTAGGTAATTAAGATAGGGGCTTAGAGAACTCACTGGTGAGGACACTCCTCTACCTACCCCAAACGACTAGAGTATCCTCCTTCTCTACTGCCATCACTCAAGCCCCTGTAACTGCACTTCCTCCATTGTTAGGCTCTTGTGACTAGCACCCCTATTCCTCTTAACCCCTTAACTTTGATGAGTTATTACAAGGACATATTTATTTCCAAGATAGAGCTAAGACCGAAGTACAAACATGTCCCCTCCCCCCACCTCTACCTCAAGGAGCCTCCTCTTCCCTATATTCTCTCAGTCTCTAGGGATTAGGCTCTAAACTTAACTCACCTCTTATATATCATCATTCCCACCAAGTTCGCATCCAAATGTGGCGTATCTGCCAGATGAGTCCTTGTCTCAGTTACCACTGGGCTGGGGTCACTCCCAAAGATTGCTTCTTGCTCTGTGGGGCTCTAATGCTGCATTTGTTCTACAACCCAGATTATGGAACACCAAGACACCAGAGTATCCTCCTAATGACCTTTACAACTCAGTAAGACACCAGACTCTATTCACCTAGAACAGAAAAATAATGAGATGACCCTAAGACCTGTCCCTTTACTGCATGGTTTCTCACCAGACGCCAGAAGTAAGGGAGTTCCACTGAGATCCCTCTAGAGTAAATGAGGCAAAAAAGGAGGTATCTGATGTTGACAGGCCTTTTTGAATGCCCCTGAAGTCAGTGGGAGAGCCTCTTCTTCACCATGTGTCTAGACGACTGACACAAGCTAGGGAATATCTATGTATGCTCTACCATCTTTACTTTCTCTAAATATCATCACAGTTCTCCCAGAAGCAAGCTCCCTCGTGTCCTCCACATGGAGAAGTTACATCAGCTGAGCGAACTGTTGGGGTGTGCACATATACTAGTTTTTGCTGTTGCTAAGTTGTTTTTCAGTCAATTCTCCATGACCCCATTTGGGGCTCTCTTGGCAGAGATACTGGAGTGGTTTGTCGTTTCCTTCTTCAGCTCATTTTACAGATGGGGAGACTGAGAAAACACGGTTAAGTACCTTGCTTGGGATCATACAGCTAGTGTCTGAGGCCAGATTTGAACTCACAAAGAATTAGTCTTCCTGACTCCAGACCTAGTACTTTATCCACTGTGCCATCTAGCTGCCCCACATATACCAGACCCCCGTGATAATAGAGTAAAACCAGATTATGATGGGCTTTCAATATCTAACAAAGGAGTCTGTGTTTTATCCTAAAGACAGTAGAAAGCCACTGAAACTCCTATAGCAGGACGTGATGTGGCCAGCCCTGTGCTTTAGACATACCAATACCCTTTTAGCTGTGTGAAGAATAGATTAGAGAAGGAAAGGCTAGAAGCAGAAAAATCAATTAACCAATTAGGAGGCTATTGCAGTGGTTCAGACAGAAGGTGATGGAGGTATGAACTGGGGTGGGGGTAGGGTTTACATAGGGAGGAGGGGTTTGAGACAAGAGACGTGGAGGCAGAATCAATAGAACTTGGCAAGTGCTTGGATATGGGAAGTGAGGAAGACAGGAGAGTCAACAAATAACTTTGAGGTTGTGAGCCTATGTGCCTGCAAGGATGAGGTGGTAGTACCTTCAGCAGAAATGGGAAAGTTAGCCAAAAAGAGGTTTCTTGTGGAGAAGATATTGAGTGGCTCCTTGGACATGTTCATTTGAAATTGTTCATCTTTGTGTCCCCCATGACAAAGTGCCCTGAACAAAGCCAGCATTCAGATACTTATTCATTGATTTTGATGTGGGAAGGGAGGTTGATTGTTATCCAGTACACTATATAAATGTATATTTTGTGTTGCTAATACTTGTGTGGAATATGGCCAGTCTGAGTTTTACAAGGTATGGATTCTAATGTCGGCTCACTCAATCTTCAGCCTTGGGCAAATCACATAGATCTCCTTGGCCCTTATTTTCCTCATCTTTAAAAAATAAGGGAATTGGACTAGTCCAACTCTAAGGCCTATTTCATTTCTGAATCTATATTCTAATATGATGTAAAAGCTCAGTCAGCAAGTAGCATATTCTTAAATACTGCCACAAAACCATTCAGTAAAATGTAAGGAAAGTGTAAGGATAAAGATTGATTCTTTTCATTTTTTAATGTTCTTTAGTTTCCCAGATCTTACATACATATGTTTTTCTCCTTCCCTCTCTGCCCCGTCCTTAGATTTTTGAGGTTATAAATTATTCAATTTTTAAAATGGATCCAAAATACTCATATTTAGGTCTGTAAATGTCAGGAAATGTGCTGGGATTTTTTTCTGTTTTTCTTTTCCTCTTAAACTGTGAACTCTTTATAGCTTTCATCATAGTTATGTTCCTTCTGAAGTTATTACTCAAGCAATCTTCATATGTCAATTTTGTTATCACAGACCATACTTTTTTGGATATTATGAAAAATAGGGAAATGCTGCCACCACATGTAATGGTATTTTTTACTTTGGCCTAGCCAAGTGGAAGAGATGGTCTATCTTGTATTCTAATAACTTCTGCTTTAGGAGGCAGGGCAGGGTGAAAACTGGGAGCCATCTTAGTTATTTTAAATCATTCTTCTGTTGACAATTCTTCTGCCAATTTTATATGTGGTATGTTTGTAGGATAGCTAAGCAAGGCCTATAGTGTCACATAATCCGACTACTATGCCTATGGTATATACCACCATAATTTCTGTGTGATTATGTCATTGAAAAACATGTTGCAAGGGCAGGTAGGTGGCACAGGGGATAGAGCACTGGCCCTGGAGGCAGGAGGACCTGAGTTCAAATCCGGCCTCAGACACATAACACTAGCTGTGTGACCCTGGGCAAGTCACTTAACCCCATTGCCTAGCCAAAAAAAAATAAAGAAGAATCATTCAAATATTTCTCTATTTTCATGCCCTCATGTTAAAAATGTAATTTTTAACTTGATGTAATAATTTGTTGTTTGAGACTTTGTATCCACCACCTTTATCTTTATGCCCTTTGCCTCTCTTTTTTCTATTTTGACAAGTAATTTCCCTTCCTTGTTCCAACGCTCTTTGCCTTACTTGGAGCTCATGGCCAAATTCTCATTCCTTCATTCCTTCATTCTATCAATCATTTAACAAAGATTTTTATCATATGCCTACTTTGTGTTACTCTGCTACCACTGTGGAACATATATGTGTGTGTAATATGTTTCTACCTTCTCGTTCTTTACAATTTAGTTAGAAACATAACAAGAATCATTGTAACTAGTAACTACTGTCATTTCTATAGCACCTTAAGATTTATGACAGGCATTCTTCACAACTCTATGAAGCAACCAAGTAGTGCAAGTGTTATTATCCCCATGTTACAGATGAGGAAATTGAGGCTGAGGGTTTGAGTGACTTGCTTATAGTTTCACAGCTATAAAAGTATTAAAGTTAGAATCCAAACCCAAGTCTCCTGATTTGAAGCTTTCCCCACTAGACTTTCCCACCTCCCACAAGACAGAGGTGCAGGAGACACTTAGTGAATGGAAAGATTTGAGAACAACATGTCACCAAAGCACACAACAGATGGGTATAGTTAGCGTGGAGGTAACCCAGAGCAAGGGAAGTAATCAAAATCAAATTTAAACTCCTTTTTATAAAGAACTTCAAGGTTCTCCATCTTGATGACAATTTCCTCTACATTTGAAACAATTGAAAACCCTTGGACAATCTGTGCTTGTGTCCCATCTGTAGTCCTGTGGAATTCTCTGCAGTGGTAAGTAATGGACTCTAATTTCAAAAGTGAGAGAAGGCATAGGAGGAACCCTGTGGCAAAATAGAAACATCAGTCAGAAGAGCTCATGCCAATCTGAACTTATTGGTAAAATGAACACCTACCTGGCCTCTCTTGAAGGGTTGTTGGGCAGTAAAGTGCTATATATAAATTGTTAAAGGCTACTTACATGTGAGCTATTGTCATTATTGCTTGAGTGACTCCATTACTGTTATTAATATTCTTTCACTGTGCTTTCTTGGCAGATTTCGAAGTCTTACCACAGCGTTTTTCAGAGATGCTATGGGCTTCTTATTAATGTTTGATCTCACCAGTCAACAGAGCTTCTTAAATGTCAGAAATTGGATGAGTAAGTCAGACCAAGCAGCTTGCCTTGACTGCTTTAGAAACTAACTTATGTATTTGCATATTTTACTGGTTTGCCTGGATTTTGCTACATTGCTTCTAGAATGCAGATATGTTTTCAAGATGGAGTTTTGGTTGCCAAACCCAGTGACTTTTCTCAGCCTTCATGTTTTTGGTTTTGTTTTTTTTTTTTTTTACTATTCCCTCTTCTTGGATCTTTCTTCCTCTCTGGGAATTTTTGACACCACTCTCTCATGTTAATCCTATCTGTCTGGTCCCTCCTGTCCATTTTGTTGGGTCATTATCCATGGCCTACCTCATAACCATGAGGCTTTGCCCTGGGTTCTTTTCTCTCTACACTCTCAATAATCTTGTCAGCTCCAATGGAGTTAATAATTATCTCTATACAGATGATCCACAGATGTACATATCTACCTCTAGCCGTCAGCTGCCTATTGGACATTTTTCAACTAGATATAGTCTTCTCAAGTCAACATATCCAAAACGTAACTCATTAGCTTTCCCTCAAAATTCACCTCCCCTTTCTGAACATCTCTATTTCTGTTAAGGGTTTCACCATCCTTCCAGGGTCCCCACACTGTTGGTGTCATCTTTGATTTCTCACTTTCTCTATCCCACATGTCCAATCTGTTGCCAAGTCTTGCTCATTCTACCTTTAAACCTCTCTTATCTCCATACCCTTCTGTCCCCTCAGACCACAACCCCTCTAGTTCAGGTCCTGATCGCCTGTCAGCTGGGCTATTGCAGTGGCTTCCTTATTAGCCTCTTGTATCCAGCTTCCTCCCTCTCTCAATCCAACCTCTAGGTAGTTACTATGGTGATATTCCTAAAGCACAAGGCTGACCGTGTCACTTTTCTGCTTTAAAAATTCCAGTGGTTTCCAGTGCTTTCTATAACCACATTCATAGCATTGTGTTATTTTAAGCTCTTTGCCATGCGGGTCCAGCCTTCCTTTCCAGACTTAGTATATAAGAATCTCCCCATGCATTCCATCTTCTCTGCCTATTCCTATTCCCACGCTTAGTCCCTCCTTACCTCTGCCTCCCAGAATCCTTGGCTTCCTGCAAAATTCAGCTCAGGCACCACCTTTTATTCTCTCCAGCTACTTGTCCTTCCCCTATCCCCCATTAATTTGTATTTACTTTGTATGTATTTTCTATTTATTTATATGTGTATATGTTGTTTCCCCAATAGAATGTATGCTACTTGAGGGCAGGGAATGTTTCACCTTTGTCTTTGTATGCCTATCATCTAGCAAAGTGTTAGGCACACAGTAGGTGCTTAGTAAACCCTTATTGGTTTGATTTGATGGAACCGATAGTGATAAGTAAGGTTGGATATGGTTAGTTAGCAGTTTAGTCTGATTTACATCACCATCCCTGATCATGCAAGATGCTTGTCTTTCTATTGGTGGCTGTATTGTTTGGCAGTGAAATTGGATTTGTCCTTTTGACCTCTCAGAGAGAAACGTTTCTAGTAGTGCCTTCAAATGTACTTATAAGACTAGTTATCTCATTTGAAAAGCCATTAATTCCATTTCTTTAGTGTGCCCTAGAGTGGCTCTTTAAACTAATTGAGCCAGCATCTACAACATGAAGCATGAAGAGGGCATGGGAGAAAGAAGCTGGATATATACTGAGTGGGAACACTTACACCTGAAATTTATATGTACTCCTTGGTTAAATGGGCTTGAGGCAGAGCTCAAGAGATACCTCCCACTTTATGAGAAGAATCATTACTGGGGCATTTTGTGTGTGTGTGTGTGTGTGTGTGTGTGTGTGTGTGTGTGTGTGTGTGTGTGTGTAAGTAAATGAAGAGCTAAACCTCTTCTATTGAACAGGTGACTAAATGTGAAAGAACCATATATGAAAAATGACTCCCCAGGCTTCATGATTGCTTGAACGTATTAAGAATTTAGGATAATGGCAAAGGAATGATTTGAGGAATGGGTTACACAGAACATTTCATGAAAACAACATTGGGACAATTTTTCTTTCCGAAGACTGGGAGAAAAAGTTTCAAATGCATTTGAGATTATCAGTAGAGAAGGTTTTAGTCCACAAGGCCAGAGCCCCCATGCAAAAGCCCATATACATCAGTGGTTAAATGTCATTGTCATCATTGCACCATTTTCCTATAAAAAATTCTCTTTTTAAAATAAATTTTGCTAATATATTTTGGTTTTACATTACCTAAATTTCCCTATGTCCTCTCCTAGAGAACCATTCTTTATAACAAAGAATTTTTTAAAAAGAGAGGAAAAAGAGAAAAAAAATTCAGCAAAATTGATTACATATTGAAAAATCTGACATTACGTACAATGTCCTACACCCATGGATACTGACATCTGCAAATGAACTGGAGGAGGTGTCTTCTCAGATCTCTATTTTGGGGCCAACCTTGATTTTTAAATTTCACAGCATTAAGTTTCAATTTCTATTTACATTATTGTAGTTATTGTGTATATTGTTTGCCTGCCTCTGCTCACTTTACTCAGCATCCCTTTCTGTAAGCCTTTCTATGAAAAAAGCTTATTTTCTACATGATGGAAGAAAGTTGGAATCTACTAAAGATCCTGGATTCTATATGTGTTCATTAATATGGATGCAACCAAAGGCAAAAAGCAGAAAAGTCAGACTTTCTCTTTCAGATATATGATTTGCACCAATTTTCTTTTATTATCCTACTTCTTGTCTCATTTGAAGGCAATTAATTGTCTTGACTTCTAGGATTAGGAGTTAAGATGGTAGTCCATCCTCCTTGAGCATAGATGAATGTCTCCCATATTCAGACTTCTAGGGAGAATGTACATTTTTCTAATATCATTAGGTACAATGGTTTGGTAATTCTATTTCATATTATACCATCTCTAAATTGAAAGTAGCATTGAGCAGCGACGTGACACAGTGGAAAAATGGGGAAAATGGACACAAGAGACATTTGAAGACAAAAGATCTGAGTTCAGGTTCTGCCTTTATCATTTAATATTGTGTGACCTTCGGCAAGTCACTTAATTTCTCAGGGCCTCAGATTTGTTTTTTGTTCAGTTGTGTCCAACTCTTTGTGACTCTGTGGAACATATCACACCAATGCAATCCATAAGGTTTTTTTTTTTGACAAAGATATTGAAGGGTTTAGCCATTTCCTTTTAAAGTGGATAAAGACAAATGAAGTTAAGTGACTTGACCTGGATCACACAGCTAGTAAGTGTCTGAGTCTGGATTTGAACTCAGGTCCTTCTGACTCCAGGCCCAGCACTCTATCTCCTGAGCCACATACCAGCCTTTTACAAGTTACTCATCTGTAAAATGATGAGGTTAGACGTAATGGCCTGAAAGGTCCTTCTCAGCTCTAACCCTATGAGCTTTTAATCTACAGGCCATCTAGTTCAAACTGTATCTGAACAGGAATGTCCTGTTCAACATCATCCCTGTGAAGTGGTCACCTAGCTTCCACTTGAAGACTTCTAGGGATGGGCAACTCAATACCTTTATAAAGCAGCTCATTCTACTTTCAGAAAGTTCAAATTGTTAGAAAATTTTCCTAATTCCTAATAAAATTCCTAATAAAAATTTAAAATTCCTAATAAATTTCCTAATATTCCTAATATTCTAATATTGAGCTGTAATATACCACTGATACTTTTATCCATTGCTTTCAGTTTTGTGCCCTTGGGCCAAGCAAATTAGTCTAAAGTTAAGGTTAATGTATTATAGCCTATCTACTTATTTTTCCTCCAGCTTTAGAATAGAATCATAGTTTTGGAGCTGGAAGTAACCTCAGAGGTCCAACCTATTCATTTTTCAGGTGAGGATGCAGACTCAGGAAGTGAAGTGACTTGCTCAGTGGCAGAGATAGTATTTGAACTTGTCATCTAACTCAAAATCTGATGGGTTTTTTGCCCATTTCCCCACAATACTCACTTTGATAATCCTTTGTTGTTTTTTCTAAAATTTTATTTATGTTATTCTGAACTTCAGAAATAAAGCCAGCATTTCCATAACATAGTAGAATAGGAAAAGAAAGATGATTGTACATGAAATATGAAATCTATTATGTACTACTTGCTATTCCTTTTAAATATATAATCAAGTTATCATGTAACCTTTCTTTTTTCCCCCTCACCCTGTCCTAAAGAAGGCTACCATTGGACACAAATATGTATATGTATAAAACCATTCTATACGTACTTGTATTTATCAGTTCTTTCTCTGAATTGTCATAACTCAGACTACTTTTTCAGTTTGGATAAATAATACTTTATATACCTTAAATTTACCATAAGAAAGTAGCCAAAGAATTCAAAGCAAATACCATCGGAAATAATTTTTAATTAGTGACTCCTGAGGAGAAGAAAGAAAATTTTTCTCCTTGTTAAAACTCACTTTTTGATTAAAAAGTAGGCTCTGAAACTTTTTAGTGGTCCTAAGGAAATCTGCTTCTTATCTCCATCACCATGGCCTCTGGGAGAGATGAAACTTTTCAAAAGTGTGTAGATAATGAGAAATTTTATTCCTCTCTGCTTCAACTCTGATGTGACTTTATCAATCAATCAATAAACATTTATTAAGTGCCTATTATGGGGATACAAAAAGAGGAAAAAGATAGTCCTACCCTCAAGGAGCTTACCATCTGATCTCTAAGTTTATTTCCCTCTATGCTCATGGGAAGTGTGAAAGCCGTACTACACCCAGCTCCAAACGGAAATAGGACAGATTGTGTGTGTCCTCATATGTGTGAGTGTACATGTTCATGTGTGTGTGTGTGTGTGTGTGTGTGTGTGTGTGTGTGCTTCCTCACACATTTATGTATGTTGGAGGTTATTATTTTGATTAAGCACAGGAAGAATGAGCAGTCACATGTGACTGATGTTGATTTGCTCTTCTTTCTTTCCAAGGTCAACTGCAAGCTAATGCATATTGTGAAAATCCAGATATAGTATTAATTGGCAACAAGGCAGATCTTTCAGACCAGAGGGAGGTCAATGAACGGCAAGCCCGAGACCTTGCAGACAAATATGGGTAAGTTAGTTATTGCTAAAATTCATCCCACTCTGCTGGCTATGGCATAAGAACCTAGACTAGGGCTCTTCCAGGAGATCCCTGACACATGAATCAATACTCAGCAGTGGTGTGTGTGAAGAGGGACCCTCCATGATTGTAAGACATCTGGAGGAGCTCCAGGGAACCGACACAAACAAGAGTCAGCCCCAGCCCTGCCCTGACTCGGCTTATGCTCCAATATCAAAGATACCTTTTTGTGCCATTGGGGTTTTGTTTGATGGATAGATTTGGCGTGGTTGGCAATTAAAGGCTGTAGGAGGAAAACTCGAGGAATATGGATATGCTCATACCTACCTGGTCTGAACGCTTCTTAGAACAGATAAAATTCAATAAGCCTTGGATTGTGGATTATTAGACTTCAATTTGTATCTTGTCTCTACCACTTGGACAAGTTAACACCCCTCCTGCTCTCAGTTACCTCATCTGTAAAATGAAAGGACTGGACTAAATGATCTCTGAGGCAGCTGGGTGGCACAGTGGATAAAATATTGGATTTGGAGTTGGGAAGACCCAAGTTCAAATCTTGCCACAAACAGTAGCAGTATGACCTACGGCAAGCCACTTAACATGTTTGCCTCAGTTGCTTCAATTGTAAAATAGGAGTATTAATAGTGCCTACCTCATAGGGCTAATTCTGAGGAGCAAATGAGATAAAATATGTAAAAGCACTTTGCAAATCTGTACGTGCTATATAAAAGTTAGTTGTTAGCTCTCACCTACAATTTTAACATCATTTGACTTGTTTAAAAAAAGAAAGGTGATAGCAACTGTACAATTGTCATGGTCCTTGTCTCTTCCTGTGCGAAACCGAGGTGGTATTTCCCAACCCATTGGGCAAGGAGATCTATCAGTATTTTTTAACTTCTTCTGAGTCTTTTTAAAAAATTATATGGCTTTGTAGTACCTGTTTGGCAGCTTATGGTGACTTTTCCCCCCTCCTCTCACGAGTATTTGTTGTCTGTTATTGTCACTGCCAGCATTCCCTATTTTGAAACAAGTGCAGCAACAGGGCAGAACGTCGAGAAACCTGTGGACACACTTCTGGACTTAATAATGAAGCGCATGGAGCAGTGCGTGGAGAAGTCACAAGTCCCCGATGCGGCCAATGGAGGAAATTCGGGGAAGCTTGATGGGGAGAAACCAGCCGAAAAAAAGTGTGCTTGCTAGACTTCACCTTTTTAAACTGAGAATCAAGAACCTCACCCAAACAGTTGATCAGAAAATGGTTGACAAGCCACGTAATTGATGAGTGAGCCTTGCACAGATACATTTTCTTTTCTTTTCTTCCAGAGAATGAATTTTAAACAACACCGTGATCATCAGTATTCAGTGGGACTGGACTATGAGCTATAAGGCCTGACAGTTCTGAGTTTGAGCTTTCTCAACACAATCTCTCCATCAGGGACAGTCGACTCTGTTGGTGGTTGTTTTGTTGTGTTTTTTTTTTAATTTTACAAAAGCATTGAAATCCTCCAGTTAGTAAATGAAAAGTGTGAGGGAGCCTAAAATCAGAAAGAAATGAAATCACTAGTTGCATATGGGTGGGGGGAGAGGGGACTGATAAATTGATTACTGAGGAAGAACATGAAGAAAGGGCACTTCTTAGATTGTTTTCACTTATATGGAGACTAATGATTCATACTTTTTGTGTTTGCATTGGTAATAATGTATTAGCTGAAGAAAATCTGCAAGTGACGAATTCTCTGGAGTTCATTAAAAATGACCTTATTTTAGGCACACGGTATGTACCTTGCCCTACTAAATTACTGATAAGGTGAATGGGAGGATAAATATCTAACTTTCGATTAAAATCAGGGAATTGTGTGATAATGTCATTTCTGTGCTCCTGGCAAATGGCAGGTAGAAGATAACAAGATTAGATAGGATGACATATAGGCAAAATAACCAATCCAAGAAAGGGCATGGAAGGTTGACATTAGCTAGTACTGAAAGGAGATGTATAAGGTGTAGCTTTCTGGGAGAGCAATTTAACCAGACTTCATGCGTGTCCAAGTTGAAGCTGATGTTACCACTGGGGGTGACATTGAGAATTCCAGGGGCTTCCATTTCCAGTGAAAGGTCGTGAGGCAGCATAGTGTTCACTCAGCAACACTTTTCCTTTTTCCACTAAATGTCACTCAGACACATGGAGTTTCTCCTTCATGGAATGTTATAATTCAGTTTCATTCTCAAAGAAGCCATCTTGGAGACTGTTGGGCTTTTCATCTCTTCTTTGTAGAATGAACCTCAGTGAAATATTTTGTTTTCTTTTCTTCAAAAGTAAAAAGTGATAATTGTAGAGAATTAGGAAAGTCACAGACATCCTGAATCACACTTTTCTCCCACTTAGTTCTTTTTGTCAAAAATGCCATTCCAACTCAACTAATCTAGAACTACTGAAAAACTGTAGTTTTTTGCTTGGATTCCCTCTGAATTTGCAGATCTTCAGGGAGGCTATGAAGATCATATCACGATATGGTTCAATACTTAATTTTAACCCATGCTTTTATTTTTACCTATTTCAAGGAAAATGCAAAGTATGGAGACACATTTGGGGAGGGGAGAATGGAATTTATTTAAGTAAGTTCATCCCAACTGTGTATTTCACAGGGACTGGTTTATCATTATGGCTAAACTATTCTCAGATTTGATCCACAGCAATGATATTATAAGGTCTTGATAAATAAACATATAAAAACTTTCCCATGGAACTTCATTCTTTACACAATAGTATAGTCACTCTTAACTATGAATTAGGTGCCTGATGAATATATTACTTTATTTAATAGAGATAAAGATCCTTAACTTTTTTTCCCCTTTCCTTCAGAGTAGATACTTTTTTGAAAACCATTTTTAAAACCATTTTGAAAACCATAGCTGATATCTATGACCATAGAAGTGGGAGAAATGTTAATGATTATCTCCTTCATTCGTTCAGATAAAAACATCATTTTCCCTATCCAACTATAACAGTGTCTTCTCTGGCCGTTCCCATTTCCTTCTACCTTTTATGCCTGAAATCTCCAGTTTTTATACTTTTTACCCCTGCATTACTCTGATAGAGAATCATTAGCTTTTATAGGGTCCAAAAAGGCTGTGTGTTCAATTAGATGACTTTATGTCTATTTTTATTCGTAGTCCCTATATGGCCTCTTAAGTTTTGGGGGTCTTCATGCCAAAGAACTATTCTCTGATAATTGGGGAATGAAATAAAGGATCAACATGCCAACAAAGCTATTGGACCCAAACTTGAGGTGGGAAGGTCATGGGGCAGATGGCTGTAGTGTGGACAGTCTTTGGAAAGGGCCAAACTATGATGATTAATTTAAACTATAGCTTCACCTTCTGTTTGTAACATCCTCTTTGGCACACACACACACACACACACACACACACACACACACACACACACAGAGTCTGGGTGCACTTCTGATTGCCAGTTCTGAACCTCCAAGATAAAGTCCAGAGCTCCTTCTTCACATTATTTTGGTGCCAGTAGAAGATAGACTTTTTTTTTTTCCTAGAGAGACATTATTTTGAAGAATTTAGACAGCTCTACTTTAAGGAAAAATAAACCCTGTGTTTGGGGGAAAATAAACCAACATGAAATTCCTCCCCCTTTAAAATCCTAGCCAGCCAGTGTTTCTTAGTCATCAAGGCACTGTTTTTTTTGTTTTTTGTTTTTTTTGTTTGTTTTTTTTTTCCCTCAATGCCTCTGGTTAGATTATACTGTATTGTTGGAATTGTCCAAAATGTATGTGAAGTTCTTTTTCCAGTGTAGATATCATCTCTGCGGGGAAATCTGCGCTGGTTTGATGTTTACATTGCTCTTACCTGGTGCCTCAGGTATTTCTGTGACCAAAATTGGCTTTAGCCACATGGCATATTTGTGGTAATATCTTATTGCTTAGCAGCCTCTCTTGGAGTTTCTTACAGGGCTACAGAACTCTTAACAATAACTCCAACTAAAGTCCACCTGTCATAAATCCAGCTCGCTGAAATTGCCAATCTTCATTCCTTTGCTAATGTTCCCATTAGTCAAATGTGCTTACCATAATTAAAGTTCAGGTTTATCCTTCAAATGGCAGGCCCTTTGGTGAACATAGGTTGAGCAGAATTGGATTACAAATTCACTTTTTTTCCAGTTTGGGGATGGTAAGCCTTTGTGGATTACCAGTCAGAACTCCAGAAAGCTTTCCTTACCATGCAGGGCTCTGGATAGCCAGCTTCCAAATAAAGCTATTCAGAGGACTTTGCAGACAGCAACCTAAATTAGCCTGCTTTCATGTCATGCTAAGGTGTTGGCTATCTCCTACTGCCAAAATAAATAAACAAACAAAAATAAAGACCAGTATTTTCAAAAATGGTTGAGCAAGGACATTAACTCTGAATACATTTATCACAACCTGACCAGAAGGGCTGTGTTAGTTGAATTTCTGTGTTTTAGTGGCTATGATTTTGTCACCCAACTAAGTACATTGTCTTGTATTGCCAGAGTATCCATTTGGAATGCTTTGGGTGAGGTTTGGGATAACCACTCCATAAGGAAAATTCTTATTTTTGATCTTTGCAAGGAGGAAGAAAAACCAGCTGTGGAGAAAAACTTGATTTTTTTTTTCTGTGAATCAAGGAGTATTTTTAAATTCTGAATAAAGTTGATTGGAAAACTTAGCCAAAAGTCTCTCTGCACTTAAAATTTTGAATTTCAAGGGACCCAATTTACCTGGTCAGACCTTGAAATATGTTGTCATTTAAAAAAAAAAGTTAAGTTCCACAAAGAAACCCCAGGAAATTCATGGAATAAAATTATGTAATGAGTGCTTCATTTAACCACTGATCAAGGGGCATAGGCTTTGCTCCCCAGCATGCTGTGTGATCATGAAGGCCAGCTAACTTCTCTTTGTCTCTGGTTCCTTAAGGAGGCAGGACTCCCTCTTGATCCTTATGTATCTCACACAGAAGGTATGAGATCTAAGATATATCACATCCACAAAGCATTTTGGAGAGATGTGGTATAAAACACAAGATACAAATGCAGTAAGCATTTCAGATTCCTGGTCTAGGGAGAAACTTTGTCCCCCTGACCCAGGAAGATTTGAGTGTTGGATTTATCCATCAAGATAATGATTTTTCACTTCCAACTACCAGTGCCCTTTAGACTATTAATGGAGTCAATTTTTTTTTGAGGCAAATATTTTTTAAAAATCTAGATTGCATGTCTTTTAGTAAAGTTTTTTCCATTTCCAAGGAAATCTATAATATCTAAAGATATCATTTCGGAATACATCAAGGATTTTATTTCCTTCTTGGGTTTTTTAAAAGGGTGATTTGAGCATATTTGAGGGCAGGGAGAAGTGAAGAATGCTGAGGTGTGGTTTGAACACTGGGCACTGAGTGAAGGGCATTGTTTGCTAAGCTTCATGATGAAGCCATGAAAACAATGATCTGGTATGATAGCCAGAAGAGAGATGTTAGCTGAGTAGCCTTTTATTAATCTTACTGCCTTAGTATTCTTTTTGGATACCAAAAGACAACAAAATTTGGGATTATATTTGTGTAGCCAGAGATGAGTAAAGAAACATGTTGTTAAAGTACATGTGTTTAGGGGATAAAAAGAGCTATGTTTAAAGGATTAATTCTATGTAGAATAAAAGACATTGGCAGGGAGCTTTTTTATATGAGATATATATAGGAAATATTTATCAATCACATTTTCCCCCCAGAAAATCATTTAATCGTGGGGGTGGGGAGGGTTGGATGTACAAACAAAAGAGGTATTTCTCTACTGGGTTTGCAGTTTGTTGTATTTGGAGAGTATTTCCTTTATTCTACGTGAATGATGGTTTTCTTTTCAATAATGTTGTTGATGGACTTGAGGAATAGCATCCCAAAGACCTTTTTTCAGTGACGTTCATGTTCAAAGTTAGGGGTATTTTTCCACTTTTCCATTTGAAGAAAAGGTCAAAAAACTCAATTTTGTAGCTGTGAGACTGAATAACAGGATGAATCTAACAATGACATTTTTAGAGGAAATTTCCAAACAAGTAACACTTTGGTAGGATCTTTTAAATTTTGCTTCTCAGGCAGAATAGTTCAGTAAAGAGAGGATTGGACAAGTTGGAGACCTTCCCTGCTGGTCTTTTAGCAAATCACATCTCTGTAGGCCTGTTTCCTTAAATGCAAAATGATTAGATGACCTCTAAGGCCCAATCTAGTTCTAGTTGTCTCTGATTTCCTTTACTCAGCTGAAAGATATTGGCAATGACCCACCACCCCCATGTATTCTAATGTCCCAAGAATAGATTGAACATGAACTGAGGTTTCCATTCTTAATGATTGATTTATTTTAGTTTACAGAGTAGCTATTGTTCTTATTAATTGATGTTAGCTAAGGCAAAAAGCTGTTTATCTGGGTGGCAAAACAATGTGTTTAAGCTTCCTCTTCAGTTATGCTATTTTTAAAAGGCTGTTTTGCATGCTAAGAACAATCCAGGTGACCTCTGCTATCATGTACACATACCTGTGACTTCACAGGTGTAGGAAACTGCCAGGGTAGAAATTCCCTCCACCAATGTAGATTATCAATTGTTTTGCAATTTAGAGTTGCCTAGGGCATTTGGACTTTAAGATGCCCAGTGTTAACTGGGTCACATAGCCAGTATGTGTCAGAAGTGGGACTTGGACTCAAGTCTTCCAGAATCTGAGGTGGCAAAGGATAACAGCCATGAGTTCAACCATGAACGTGGGAAAAGTGGCCAGATAAGGAAAATAAAATCACTTGAATGGAAACAGTACTCGAATAGAGGCTGTGAACCTTGGACCTCTTCATTCGATCTGTGCATACTTCTTTTCAAGTACAGCAAAATAAGAGATGAGCTCTCCTTCATCTTTTATTTCCTCATGTACTTCCTTTGAGGCTGCCAATTACATTACCTTAAAAATGTGTGCCAATGTGGTGAAACTCCTCATTGTATAATAGGGCTTTTTTTGTGAACATATCCATGTAAGAGATGCTGGTTGTATCTGAAATTATTTATGGAAACTAATTTGTCCTACTCTAGTCATGTTTTTAAAGATAACCATTGTTTTGACTGTAATAGTCAAGTATTTTGCTGTTTCCCAAATTTGCCCTTAGATAATGTTTTCCCTAATGTTGAGTTATCTTGTGCAGTTTTCTGGTTTTACGTCAGTCTTCATAGGTCCGAAGATGTTTTGTATTAGTACTATGAATGTCATTTAAACCTTTTAACATGGTATTTTCTCTCTATATGCCCCTCAGTAGACTGTGGTGCCTGACACTGTTATGTTATCATTTTGTTGTACCAAAGTTCCTATGGCTTAAAAAAATTGTCCAATGAATCATTGGTGTCTGGGTTTGAATAATATGGTCAAGGAATGTATCCTGTGATTGTTTCTGCACTTTTCAAATAAAAATGCATTTTTACCAGTTGTGTTGGGTACCTGGGAAAAGTGTATCCCAGTGTTTATGTTGGCAATAGATGAGAGGGATAAGGGGGTTAATGAGAAAAGACAAAAACGCAACTTCATCCCATTAGTGATGGGCCGTTCTTGGGACATGCCAGACTCCTGGGTTCTCATCCATTTGATCATCTATATGATCTTATCATTCATGAAAAAAATCAATCATAAGCATATATTAACTACTATGTGCAAGGTACTGTGCTAAGCACCAGGGATCCCACCCAAAAAGTAAGAAAAGTCCTTTCGAGGTGCTTACATTCTAATTAGATAATATTCACACACACACACGATACATACAGAACAGATACAAAGCAAATTTAGACGGAAGGAAAAACTCCTTGCATAAGATAGACATTGACTTGAGTCCTGAAAGAAGCCTGGGATTCAGTAAGGTGAGAGAGAATTCCAGGCATGATGAATGGCCATGCAAAGGCATGGAGATGGGAATTGGGGTATAAGGTGTGAGAAAAAGCAAATAGACTGGAGTGGCATGATTGGACTATAAAGTGTAAAGGAGTAATGTTCAAGAAGACTGGAAAAATAAGAAAGGGGCCAGGGTGTAAAGAGCTTTGAAAGCCGAACTGAGGAGTTTATTATTTGATCCTAGAGGTGGTTAGGACCCACTTGGAGTCTATTAAGTTAAAGAGGGGCACATGACATCATCAAGACTTGTGCTTTATGGAAAGATCACTTTGGCAACTGTGTGAAAGATGAGCTAGAATAAAGAAAGACTTGGCAGGGAGACCAAGGAAGAAGTTAAAGGAAGTAGTTTAGGTGAGGGGTTAAAGTATGGACTTTGATAGAAACTTTATTCCACATTTTAAAAACTGCTTATGACTGTAGTGCTCACTTGTAAGTGCTTCCATGTCCCAGAAATTAATAAGGTGCAATTAGCCAAAAGAATAATGAATTTTCACACTCAAAAAGTACCATTATTCAAAGAGGGTAAGGGTGGAGGCAGAAGTATGGTTTGATATAGATGGGTAGATAGATATAGATATACACAGATACACATTCATACACAATTCATACACGTGTGCATATACACACATGCACATATATACATACGTGTGCTTATATACACATGTGTATACACAGGATATATAGGTATAATATACATATACATATAAACACACCAATATATATGGTATAATTGGAATATATTGGTATATCTAATATAGAGGTGTGTATATAATTAGGTGGCACAGTGGATAGAATGCCAGGCTTGGAGTGAAGAAGACCTGAGTTCAAATTTGGCCTCTGATACTTCTTAGCTGTGTGACTCTGAGCAAGTCACTTAACCCTGTTTGCCTCAGTTTCCTCATCTATAAAATGAGCTGGAGAAGGAAATGGCAAATCACTCTAGTATCTTTGCCAAGAAAGACAAAGAGTCTGACACAATTGAAACAAGGGAACAACAAATATAATATATGGTATATGTTGGTATTTATATATGTACATATACACACACATACACACATACACATACCAGTAGCAATCAGATTGCCAGGGACATGCATTTTCTCCCCTGGCTCCATCTTAAATAAAGCAAGATGTGTCATTCCAATGCTGGCTGCCTGAAAGCCACAAATGTGCCCCATGTTGAGAAAGGAAATAGGGCACACTGACATTAAAACTCTGCCCATAAACAACAGGCACTGTATGCGTGGGTTATTAAATTCACAGGTTCTCTGATTGAGGGTATTGTGACTTCTGGCATTCTCATGGAGAAAATTTCCTCGGCCATAAAGTGTGAGGGTTGAGCTAAATGATCTCTAAAATCCTTTCCTTCTGACTCCATGATCTTGTAAATTGAAAGTATGAAGATAGATGTCAAAAGGTTAAAAAAATTGAATATATTCTTCAATAAACAAAGAAGGAAAAATGTAGAGTTCATAGAGAGATATATACATACTCTTTTATAAAAGTTGTCTGTAGCTAAATCTTGTTTCTGGCAGCTTCAGATAATAGCTTGGTTGTATACAGCCCAAGAAACCAAATGAAGTGACCATAACACACCTGATAGTAGGTCTGGCTATAGTTAGGACTGCTTTGTGGTACAGACCTTTGTAAAGATGGGCATGACCCTCTTATATATGGCACATCTTTAGATTACTCTACAGGTCAAGAAACAGAAGGTGTATGGGGCAAACCAGAATTGTGCCCATTTTTCAGTACATATGTAGAGAACTTTACCTTTTAATCTATAGATTTAGGTGAAGTAAAACAGAACTATTAAGTAGACTAATATTATTGACAGTTGCATGCTTTATATATGTATATACATATACATGTATATACATATATATGTATGTATGTACATATATGCATATGTATGTATGTACGTGTGTGTATTTTATATGAAAAAAAAAACCACCCTGGTGCCTTTCTCCCACCTTGGCAGGAGCAGGAGAAATGGGATACATGGGAATTGATTCATTTGGCTCCTTTACCCTATCTCCCTCAAACCTTCCACCACCACCTCATCTATAAAATCAGGAAAGGATGCCAAAACTAGGTCTCCATACTTTAAGGTCATCTCATCTTCTCGGGGTGTGTGAAAGACAGGCACCTGGCTCACAGTTTGTATGCAAAAGTCAAAGGGAACAGTGCTAATAGCTCAAATCAACTCAATTAGGGCTCAACTCTCCATCTACATGGAGGTCGGAATTCAGGTAGACTTCTGAAAAGTCATTTTGTGCTGTCTCCACTTCCTAAAAGATACCCAGAGGCAAGTTCTGCCCAATCGCCAAAAGCCTGTGAGGGAAGCAAAAAGGATATGACTCAGAATAATTTTCAAAGCTTAGGATATGAATAACGAAAAACAAACCACCAAATAAAACCCACCAAAATACTGGTTTTGAAAGCTGAGGAACATAAGATCTTTTAAAATTTTCAGTCAGAAGAAATCAAATGCTTTGAATAGGCTAAGATGGAGTAAAAATGTAGCCACATCATTTTAATTCAAGGTATATCAATAAATAATTTAAATTGCCTAAGAGTAAATATATAGGGGCATCTTCACCCTCCTAATTAAAATAATTGAGCTTAAAAGCCATCCACTTGTTAGCACCCCTCTTTATTTGCAGGCTGAATTCTTATCCTCCCACTTCTCTAGCAAATGCTATCTTCGGACTAAGAAAAGGGTCAGCCCTACAGGTTGATGTTAATTATAACTTTGACCTTTAAGATTTCCCTCTGGCCAACATTTTATAATCTGAAACCAAACTGGGGGAAGAGATGGGGAAACTTCCTTTCTAGAGAGAAAGTAATATTCTGAACACTTAAGAAGCCAATAAAGTTTTGTTTTCAGGAATCCTATTAATGGCTAACATTTCTATACAACTTGAAAGTTTGAGAAATGCCTTGTACATACACATCATCTCATTTGAACTTCACAATATCGCTGGGAAATAGGTTTTTTTTTTTTCTGTCCTCTTTCTCTCTCACCCTGTCTTTTAACTATCCCCATCTTCAAAGGTAGAAATTGAGGTGGAATAAAGTTAAATTCCTCATCCCAGGGTGCATACCTGGCAAAGTGCCTTAGGCAGGATTCAAACTCAGGTCTGCCTTAGTCTAAGGCCAGTGCTCTATTAAACCACTGAGTCAAGCTTCTTTTTTTTTTTTTTTAGAATTTGGGGAGGAAAGAGGAATATTTATTTCTTTGTGTGTGTGTGTGTGTGAGTGTGTGATTTCTGGCCTACCCTAGTAAATTCAGACTCTGTTCCACTATAATCTGATTTTCCTTTATTTAGTACTTTCTCATGATTTATTGTTATTTCAAACATCTTTGTCCCACATATTATGATTTAAAAAAAGGAAAAAGTCATTTTGGATTTGGATAGACACTTGGTATCTTTTTCTTGTCCATATTTAGAAAATGGACATCATAAATGGCCCTTAGCACACAGAGCCAGCTGGGGCTTTTTCTAATCCTGAGTAAATTCCCAATAACACTACATGCTTCCACATGGCTGCCTAATTCTGAATTTGGAAGCTTGAAGATGGAGAGAGATGAATTTCAAAGTGAAGGAATATAATGGACTGGTGAAGCACTGGTATTCATACTCAAACTCTAAACTGAAAAGGTGGCTCTACGTTTATTTGATCCAGAGGACTGCTAAGGAGAAAATATTTAGAGAAATGTGAACAGTTTTGCTCAGTGAATGCCATTCCTTAATCTTGGAATCAACTTTTAAATGAAAATTTTTTTAATTAAATTAATTTTTTTTAAATCTGCATTACTCTCATGTATAAAAATCTCATTGCAACATAAAAATGCAGGAGAAAAATTATATCAAGAGCCAAAGTAAACAAAGTACATAAGAGTGTATGCATGCATGCTGTCATTGTGTATTGTGCAAGTCAAGACATCATGCTCTTGACATCCTTGGTGCTCTTCAGGATGGACAAACAACAACAACAACAACAACAACAACAACAACAACACTGTGTGCCCACGTAACCACACGCACACACACATATTTTTTTTTCTTATAGAATGTCACATTGCCTATTATAAATGACTATAAATTGAGGGCTGCTAGGTGGCGACATAACGCACAGAGTTTGAGTCCTGGAGTCAGAAAGACTTACTGTCCTGAATTTAAATCTAGCCTTAGGTACTTACTAGTTGTGGGACCCGAGGCAGGTCTCTTAACCCTGTTTACCTCAGTTTCCTCATCTGTGAAATGAGCTGGAGAAGAAAATGGCAAACCACTCCAGTATCTTTGCCAAGAAAACCCCAAAGGCAGTCACAAAGAGCTGGACATGAGTAAAGGAAAAACAAAATCTATAAATCAGTATAACATGATGCCAATTTTTAAGTTCAAATACTGCTTACAGTTCTCATACTTTAAGCATTGCTGTAGATACAGAGCTGGCTTCAGTCAGGAAGACAGAAGTTAAATGCCACCTCTGAATTTATTGGCTGACTGATCTTACCCAATCATTCACCGTCTCAGTGCCACTGGCAACCTCTCCAAGACTTTAAATTGCAGAGTATAGGTTGCATTGGAAGAGGCAATTTCCTTACTGGAAATTTATTATACCAACAAAAGCACATGTCCTAGGGGCAGGTAGGTGGCACAGTGAATAGAGGACTGGCCCTGAAACCAGGAGGACCTGAGTTCAAATGTAGCCTCAGACCAAACATTTGATACTTACTTGCTGTGTGACCCTGGGCAAGTCAATTAACCCCAACTGCCTAACCAAAAACAAACAAACAAACAAAAAGCACATGTCCAGACCAAAACATTTTTTTTTAATTGACAATATAGAATGTCAGTCAGAATGGCCTTTCCCAATACTAAAATATACATAATCAATGCAATAGACATTTAAAAAACTATATAAACCTTCCTAGTCCCAACTCAAATCTGACTTTACAAAATGCTGATTATAATTCTTTTCTTTATTTCTGGGGGTAGGGAGGAAGTATATTCCTCTATGCCAATGAAATATTCTATATGCTACCCTCAGGGTATAAAACAGGTTCTGTAAGACCTGTGAAAAATGTGGCATTACATCTTTTAAATTAAAAAAATCTGTTTTCTGTAGACATTACAATTTTTAAACATTTAAAATAATTTCCTTTTTAAAAAAAGTCAATCTCATAAAATATGATGAAGGAGAAGAAGCATGTGTCCGATTTATGGCCCTTCTTTTGCTACTATAAAATTTAAAATGAATCTCTGGATCAGTCCTGTTTATATTAGCCTAATCCTGAAAAAAAAAATTACTGTTTATTTCCTCAGGAGCACAGATGTACCATCTAATAAAATGCCTTTTCTAGTTCATGGGTTGTGTTAGAGTATCTGTCAATTCCAAATCACCAAGCTTGGCCCAGCATTCTTACATATTAAAATAAAATGAGTGCAGTAAGGGAAACCAAGATGCCCATGAGTTTAAACTGTAGTATCTTCTAATATGAAACCTTAGAAGAGAGCGCTCAAGTGGAACCCATTGCTTAAGTCAAACCAATGACTTCTTAACTGAATATATCTCAAATGTAAAATTATGCACGACAAGAGAACCAGTAATTAAAGGCAATAAGTATTCTACTCGTGGACAAGTAAGCTTTCCTTATCTATAAGGCAAAAGCTGGGATGAATATGAAATGTCTTAGTTTCCATCCAAATATGCCTAAAAAAGAATTCTAAAAGCCTTGAATCCTTGCAAAAGTCCTGTTCAACACCAGCTGAAGAGTAGGGTCTTCTGTATTCTAAGTTGGAGTTTCTCTAGCTTCAGAGACTTGCAAAGTTTCTGCAGGTTTACTACTTTGTAATTCACATGATGACCTGGGTTGTCATCAGCTTGTAAGAAAAAAGAGAAGAGAAGAGAAGAGAAGAGAAGAGAAGAGAAGAGAAGAGAAGAGAAGAGAAGAGAAGAGAAGAGAAGAGAAGAGAAGAGAAGAGAAGAGAAGAGAAGAGAAGAGAAGAGAAGAGAAGAGAAGAGAAGAGAAGAGAAGAGAAGAGAAGAGAAGAGAAGAGAAGAGAAGAGAAGAGAAGAGAGTAAAAAGAAAAGAAAAGAAAAGGGTGTTTTCCATAGTTATAAGATGCCTTAGAGCATGTGCCAAGGCACTGTGGCTCTGATGGAACGAAGATCAATGTCTTTCTGGGTAGTGACATCAAACAATGGATATGCAATAATAACTCTTGGGGGGGAAAACAATCTAGGTTAAAAATTATAGCAAATTCTGATGGCAACTTTTATGTGAAAGGACTGGTTTAAAAAAAAATAATTTTAACAGAATTGCTCCATTCTTTAGATATTTTGCATTTTATGGTATGTTGAGATATGTCCTTGGAAGGGCCTTCAGAGACGACTCAATCCACCCATCCCAACTTCATTTAATATACCAAGAAAATGAGGTAGTACCTCAGTGACTCTATCCATAAGCATATAGCAACTATAGCTGGAAGACTCTCAGAGATTAGCTTTCACCCTACAGATATAGAAACTGAGGCCTGGATTGATGTGATCTGCTCAAGATCCAACACAGTGACTGAGCTGGGGTTTGGATCCAGATCTTCTGGCTTCTAACTCACTGTCTCACACTACTTCCTTTAATAATGACTTCTTTAATGGAAAAAAAACCCCATTTCTTATTAAACATATTCAAATTCTTAAATAATTTTTAAAAATCTGTCAGATACGTGGTATCTCCTTTTCCACTTGATGTCATCCCTAACAAGAACACTTATTTACAAATGAAGTTGACAGTCTTAGATCACAGTCAGGCATTCAAGTCATAATCCTGATTCTCAGTAATGCAGCAGAGTACAGTAGCACAGAAATTTATTAAATGGTACTTCAGTGGCCCCCAAGTCTTCCTGTTACTTATCTCAAATAAACTATTCCCAAGGGGTCATTTCTTGGTGGCCTCTGGCCAACCAAATTTCCTTTCACCATCCAAAGGGGATGATCCCCCACATCAAATGAAAACGCACTGCAGGAATTTGCAATTATAATATGCAAGGTTCTATTTTACAACCAGTACACCAAACAAGTTTGAAAAGAGAATCAAGTGTTTTCCATGGGGAAGAAGCAAATTTCCCCATTAGTTCAGGATGGCAAAATCCCAGCACTGGGGAAACGGCGCTCTTCCCCAAATGCTTGTCTGACTGCTCTGAACGTTCTCTTCCCACCAACCAGGGGAAAACTTCTTTACAGAAGCGACCCTTGGGTAAGCTTTGGAAGATCAGAGACATCAGCAAATTAACATTCTCATTTAGACTATATTTTTAAATATACTAAATAGTAGAACTCTTTCAGAAACAGAGGTCATCGTAATAAGGAGTCTTTCAGGGTCTAGAGCTCCCATAATCCAATACATGTTGAAGGTTTATTTCCGTAGTCTAATTAGCATCAGATAGGGAGAGGTGTCTTCCACCATGAATTCACTGTAGAAAAAAAATAATCACATAATATTAATGGAGCCAGTTAGAAGTCCAAGATAAAACTTTAAGGTCACAATCCCCATCACACTGTTGCAATTAATTTACATGGCTTATTCTGCCTTTCTTCAGAGGTCCTGCAGTTCACTGACCATTTCTGCCCAAGTCTGCAGGACACCCTGGCCAGCTCATAGCACACTGGCCCACCCTGTCATTTAATTGCCCATCTGGCCACCTTTCATTTTTTCAAAAATAAGAAACCATGCTCTAAAACATTAATGCTGTGATTTTTCAACTATAATAATTTTTTTAAAGTTTTAAAACATAATTAGGATTATTAGAGTTATGCCTCATAGGGACCTTAGAGATTATTTAGTCTAATCCTTTATAAGGAAACTGAGACTTGGACTGGGTAAGAGGTAAAATCACAAAGTGCAGGCCCTGAAACCTGATTTAAAATCCTGCTTCTGGGGGTAGTTAGGTGGCACAGTGGATAGAGCACTGGCCCTGGAGTCTGGAGGACCTGAGTTCAAATCCAGCCTCAGATACTTACTAGCTGTGTAACCCTGGGCGAGTCACTCCCTCATTGCCTCCTGCCCCTCCCCGCCAAAAAAAATCCTGCTTCTGACATTTAAAAGCTGTGTGATCATGGGTTTCTTCATAAGACTATTGTGAGGATCAAGTGTGATAAATTATATAATAAATTGTGTGTGATAAATTATGTAAAACAACTCATAAAATTTTCTATTATTAAGTGTTATGCCCAAAGTTCTGCAACTAGTGAGGATTTTATCTGATTCTCCCTCAAACACCCTAACCACTTAGTTCCTCAACCTGCTAATTTTCCATGAGCTACTCTATGCCCCTCTCAACCACCCTTATTCTTTTGAATAAAGTTCAATGGCTCCCTATGGCTTCCCGAAGCAAATATAAAATGCTCTGCTTGGCATTCGAAGCCCTTCATAGCCCAGTCATTTCCTACCTTTCCAATCTTCTTATACCTTACTCCCTAACACATACTCTTCAGTCCAGTTCACTGACCTCCTGGCTACCTCACAAACAAGACACTCCATCTTTCAGCTCCGGGCACTTTCTCTGGCTGTTACTCAGGCTTGGCATGCCCTCCCTCCTTATCTCTGGCTTCCATCTCATCTTTTACTGCAAGCCTTCTCAAACTCCTCTTAATTCCAGTGCCTTCCTTCTATTAATTACACACACACACACACACACACACACACACACACACACACACACATGCACACACACATATAAAACTATTTATCCTGTATATAACTTGTTTGCATGTATTTATTGACATGTTGTCTCCCACATTAGACTTTAAGCTCCTTGAGGGAAGGAACTGTCTTTTGCCTCTTTTTGTATCCCCAGTGCTTAGCACAGGGCCTGGTAAATTGTAGGCCCTTAATAAATGTTTACTGATTGATTGATTGATTCTAGATTTAGTGCTCTTAACACTATACTAATGAAAAAAATTCAGCTCATTTCTCCCATTTGAAGCTGAAAGTAGAGGGAAAAATTATCTTTTTCTTGCATCTTCCATTATGACCCACCGCAACCACAGGCCATTCGAGCATCATGACTTAAAGGATCACAGACTTGGAACTTAGAGGTCATCCCCTCTTTTTATAAATGAGGAAACTGAGGCCCAAAGACGTTAAGAGGTTTGCCCAAGGTCACAGAGATAGAAAGTGACAGAGTCAGGATTTGAAACCCATGTCTTCTGACCCTACATCCAAAATTCTTTCTGTGGCACTTCAAGCAAATGCCTCCAGATCAAAAGATGAACAAACATTTAAACACACAAACACATACACACACACACACACACACACACACACAGAGAAATGGGTAAGCACAACACAAAGAACATCTGTCATTTTTCCCATCAGGGAACTGGCCACAAAAGAGTGTCTTTGTCCCTGTCTTGGCATGGAGATAATAGACATTCCCCCCAGGTCTGAGCATCACTTTCTGTTTCCCCTATCCAACTGAGAACCAATCTACCTCCCAGTTGTTAAGAGCCCCTCTCTATAGTAGTAGAAAGAACACTAGGTTTGAAATCAGAATACCTGGGTTTGAGTTGTGGCTTCAACACTCACTATCTGTACAATGCTGGGGAAGGTCACTTCTTTTTCTGCATCTCAGTTATACTATCTGTCTCATTGTGTCTTTGTAAGGAGACTGCTTCACAAAATGCAAAGAGCCATATAAACAGACCTACAGCCAGTATCTACACTGAGATGGTCAGGAGTCTGCACAGTTTCTGAAATATGTTCATTTTATCCCTTTCCTGGACACCTCTGGGGTGGGACTTTTTTGCTCTTGTAGACATTATAGGGGAAGTGGCTAAAAGATAACAATTTGTCACCTAGGGCCCCCATGACTTTATGACGTGGCTCAGAGTATAAGATGAATCTGTCTGGATTCCCAGACTGACACTAATCACAGTGGGCTTGATTCTTTACTCTATGTACTGTACCCATGGTGGTTCAGAAAATCAGAATCTGCCCTAAGGGGATTAGCGTGAGAAAATTAAAAGCTGCTAGAATGGGAAATTTTTTAATTGCATCTTTAATGATATGTGTAATTATGGACTTTATTTTTTTTAATGGAAGCAATTCTGTGGAATATCAAAGAAACAGGATTTAGGCCTGGAAGTGTTCTGCCATTTGCAAAATATTTAAACATCCAGGTCATTTAGTCTTATTTATCATTTCCATCAAAGTATAATTCTGGACATCAGCATTCACCCTTTCATCCATTCATCACAAAATTGTGAGAATCTATTATGTGCTTAGCACTGTGCCAGATGTTATGAAGGATTAAAGGAAGCAGGAAAAAAAAATATTTCTGCCTTCTCCTACAATCTAGTTGGGCAGATAAGACAAAGGCTACATGATCACTATGGGCTAGACTTGAGCAAAGCCTTGAAGGATGAGTGGACTTCAAATAGGCAGAAAGGCTGGAGGGATGGGAGAAAGTATAAGAGAATATCGTCTACCATGATGTGCACAGGAAATGTAAGTCATGCTCTAGAGATACTGAGAGGCTCAGTCCAGTTAGAAAAGAATTTCTGTGTGTTGGGGCCAATATGTAGAAAGATTAAAGATAACCCTGGAAAAGTAACTTGGAACCTAATTATGGATAGCCTCTAATGTCAGGCTAATGAAGTTGAATTTCATCCCCAGTCACAATTTCAAGCAAAGGAGTAATAGGATGAAGGTGCTACTTTACAAACACTAATATGTCAGCATTGTGTAGGATGTGTTAAAATGTGTTTGGCGCAAGGTGGGGGGATACTAGGAGCAAGTAAAGCATTTAGGATCCTTGCATTAATGTATGCATGAGGTAATAAGGACCTGGTTTGGGGAAGTCACCATGGAATGTAAAGGAAAGGATAGATTCAAGAGAAAATATGAAACAACAGATAGGATTTGGTGATTTGATAAGTATGGGAAAGAGGAAAAACTCAAAGGCGACTAAAATTTTAATCCTAGGTGACTATAAAATGATATTAATGATAGAAAGAGAGCAATAGGAAAGCAGAGACAGTTTGGGTGGCAGGATAGCACATTTGAAAGCACTATGTCAATAAAGGATATGCATCTCCTAGGGAAAATATTCCACTTTTGCTCATTAAAAAAAAAAATTACAGAATGCTTATCAAGCATTGTAAAGTTTTGGGAGGCCAAATTTAAATAACAATCTTGACTAGGTTCTAACCAAGTAAGTAAGATTCAGTTCAGCTAAATTTGAGAATGATGACAAATGTAAATGATTAAAAAATATTTATTCAGTGCAGCTGTCAAAAGAGGAGCTAGGAATTCTCTGATCACAGCTGGTTAAAGCTAACCACAGGGTCAGTATGCACCATGTTATTAGCTTGATAGGCTCCTTACAAAGAAAACAAATTTGGGTTCATTTCTAAATGTTTCTGTTCATAAATATACAGCCCGTTTCTACTTGCTTCTTTTCATAATGCTAGAGTAGAAATAAATTTATGATTCCTTTCACATGTCAAGGTCCCATGATTTTATCAATGTTGGTGAAGGAAGAAGGAAAGCCGGAAGGGAATAGGCCTTTTATAGTACCTACTATGTGCCAGGCATGTGCTATGCAGTTGTTACAAATATTATCTCATTTGAGATAGTGCAGGTGCCTTCCTCATCAATAACGATCAGAAAGCTGTCTATACCATGAATTTTTGGAAACAGCTCAAAAAAATCCACGATTTTTTTAATCTATGATGTGGTCAGCTCAGGAAGAAGCTGCTCTTAACTTAGCTAGACTAATTACAGACAGTTCTTCATGCTGCTCATACTTAGAATGGGAACAGAGACTGGACTTATGATTTCACTGGCATCGGCAGCTCCTGATGAGGAACATTCTCTACCAACAGATGTCAGCCATTTCCCTAAAACCTAGAGTGTCTCAGAGAATGGGGCTCGGAGTCTTTTTTTGGACCTTCTGGCAATCCGGCGAACCCTACGGAACCCTGCTCAGAATAATTTTTAAATGCATGAAATAAAATATACAGGATTACAAAGAAAATTCATTACACTGAAATATTTATCAAAACATATATTTTTAAAAGTTTGTGGACCTCACGTTAAGAACTCCTGTATAAAGAAGTACCCTAGAACAATGTGAAGTTGAATAACTTGCTGAGGAATACACAGCCAGTGTGTGTCAGGACTAAACCCAGTTCTTCCTGGTTCCAAGGCCACTTATCCATCCAGAATATCATGCTGTCTCTAGTTCATACTAAATAATTGAAATAACTTAAAAAAGATTCAATGTTGTCTATATGTTATCAATACAACTAGTAATAATTTCTCATATATCCAAAGTCATATATATAATTACATCCTACATGAGATGTGGCAGGGGGGAAAGAGGAGAAGGAAACACCTTACCTTGTGGAAACTCCCTTAGATACCTTCAACTTGGAGTTGTCTGACCAAAGTTCAATCTTGCTTTTTAGGTCTTTATTCTAAAATTGAAAAGAAAATTCTATCAAGATTGTATAGAAACCCTGGCATGGAATGATACTTTTACATATATGGACTGGGTTTTTTTTTTTATACCCAAAGCCTATATCCCCCCTTAGAGGCTAGTCAGCTGATCTAGTCATTCATTGTTCGGATCAGTGATCACTGTACATTAATGGCATAATGTCTTCAATGATATCCTGAAAAGAATAAGCACCTGGGAAATGCCTAAAGCACTACAGGCTCAAGCAATATGCTGATTCAGGGTCTAAAATTCAATTGTTGAAAAGAATCAATCTTAAAAAATATCTGTCACTTGAAGAATCTCAGAGAATCAACTAAAAAATTAGTTGAAATAATTAACCATGTTAGCAAAGTTGCAGGATATAAATTAAACCCACATAAATCATAAGCATTTCTATATATTGCCAACAAAGTATATCAGCAAGAGATAGAAAAAAAATTCCATTTAAAATAACTATAGAAAATATAAAATACTTGGGAGTCTACCTGCCAAGACAAACCCAGGAACTATGTGAGCACATTTACAAAATACTTTTCACACAAATATAGTCAGATCTAAACAACCGGAAAAATATTAAGTGTTCATGGGTAAGGCAAGCCAACATATTAAAAATTACAATTCTATCTAAATTAATTTTTATATTCAGTGCTATACCAACCAAACTGCCAAAATATATCTTATACATCTAGGAAAAAAATAATAACAAAGTTCATCTGGTGGAACAAAGGTCAAGAATATCAAAGGAATCAAGGGAAAAAAAAAACACGAAGGAAGGTAGCTTAGCCATATCAGATCTCAAACTGTATTACAAAGTGGGAGTCATCAAAACAATTTCGTACTGGCTTAGAAATAGAGTGGTGGACCAGTAGAATAAATTAAGTACACAATATACAATAGTAAATGACCATAGCAATCTATTGTTTGATAAATGCTAAGATCCCAGCTTTTTGGACAAGAACTCACTATTTGACAAAAACTGCGGAGTAACTAGAAAGCAGTTTGGCAGAAACTAGGCATACACCAATATCTCCCATTATATACCAAGATAAGGTTAAAATGGGTGCATGATTTAGACACGAAGAATTCATAAGTCGTCAAAGGATAGAAACAGGCTGTTTTCAGAACATATCAAAGCTATCTATAGTCATATAAAAATGCTCTAAATCACTGTTGATTAGAGAAAAACAAATTAAAACAACTCTAAGGCATCACCACACACTTAGTAGATTAGCTAATATGATAGAAAAGGAAAATTATAAATGCTAGAGAGGATGTAGGAAAATTGGGACTCTAATGCACTGTTAGTGGAGTTGTGAACTGATCCAACCACTCTGGAGAGCAATTTGGAACTATGCCAAAAGGCTACAAAAATTGTGCATACCCTTTGAACTAGAAATACCATTACTAAATCTATACCCCAAAGATATCAAAGGAAAAGGAAAAGGACCTACATGTACAAAAATATTTATAGCAGCTCTTTTTTTGTATTAGAAAAGAATTGGAAACTGAGAGGATGCCCATCAATTGGGGAATGGCTGAACAATTGTAGTATATGATTGTGATAGAATACTATTGTGCTATATGAAATAGTGAACAGGTAGATTTCAGAAAAACTTGAAAGAACTGAATGAACAAAGTGAACAAAGTGAAGTGAGCAGAACCAGAACATTGTACACAATAACAGCACTATTGTGTGATGATTAACTGTGAATGACTTAGCTATTCACAGCGATACAATGGTCTTAGACAATTCCAAAGGACTCATGATGAAAAATGTTATCTATCTCCAGAGAAAGAATTGATGGAGTGTGAATGCAGATCAAAGCATACTTTTTTTTTACTTTATTTTTCTTGGGTTTCTTTTTTGTATGTGTTTTCTTTCTCAACATGACTATTATAGAAATATGATTTGCATGACTGCACATGTATAACCTACATCAAATTGCTTGCCATCTCAGGGAGGGAGGAAGAAAATTTGGAACTCAATTTTTTTAAAACACAAATGTTTAAAAAATTTACATATAATCAGAAAAAATAAAACATTGGAAACACCCCCCCCCAAAGAAATATCTTTTGTACAGAGTTTGAAAGTTTTTTTATTAAAATATGCCTCTTTTCTATACTCTTTGCTCTATACGTTCAGGAACTATATTTGTTCTATGCTGGTATATACCTAGTAGAACCTCAGTCTCCTCATTTATAAAATAGGTATGAAAACAGAATAAAAATGCTTGTGAATGAAGTGATATATAATGCAATGATTATTATGGTTGTCTTTAGTGGAGAGAATTGGCTTCAAATCCTACTTCTGCTGCTTATGATCTGCGTCACTTGGCGCAAGTCAGCTATCCTCCACTGGTCTCAGTTCCCTAACCTATAAAATGCAAGGGGTTGGACCAGATGATCTCTGAGCCCCCTTCCAGTCTAAATCTATGATCCCATGGACATTCAATAACTACTGACTGGCTGACCCGTTTCTTTCCTGAATGACAACCTTACACATCTCGTAAACCCATGGGTGTGATTTATACTTTCAACTATTTTTATTTTCACTTGTTGGTGAGATTAGACGCTAAAAGAATAGAATTCTGAGTTGGGATATTTGTATGTAGAACAAAAGAATTTTATGAATTTTATGAAATGACCTTTGATATTATCTGGTACAAACCATCCATTTCATAGATGAGGAAACTGAGGCCAGAAAAGATGAAGTAAGCTGCTCTATTCCAGAAAGTAATCAGAGATAAATGATGAAAAAAACAGGACCACAGGTGAAAGGAAAAGCAAATGTGAACTGGGAGAGGAGAAACAACTGATCCAGGAGATCAATCAATCAATCATCATTCAGCCAGCAAACATGAGTGCCCTTACATATGGTTTTGTGAGCAACATAAAAAGAGGCCTTAACTGTGTGCGCTTTGGCAGCAAAAGAGATTGCCATAGCCCTTGTATAAAAATGACACACAAATCTGTTAAGTGTTCTGTATTTTTTTAAGTGAGCTTTATTAATGTAAGGAGCTGTGTTAGTCAACAAACAATCATTAAACACTTACTATCCACCAGGCACTATGCACTGTGGATGCAAAGAAAGGCCAAAACAAGGTTCCTGCTTTCCTCACATTTTAATTAGGGGTGGGGGGGAGAGGGAGAATGAAATGCAAACAACCATGTATATAACAGTGAGGGAGATGACATGCAAACAATCATGTACAAATGTAAATGGGAGGGAATCTTACAGGAAAAGTGCCGGGCTTTAAAGTTTACAAAGCGCGCGCACACACACACACACACACACACACACACACAGATAGATCGACAGATACAGATATAGATGATATAGATATATAAAGATATAGATATACATATATACACATAGACATATATGTATATGTGTGTATGTATATGTATGTACCCACACATATATAATATTTCATTTGATCCTCAAAACATCCCTAGGAGGTATGTGCTATCATCATCATCATCATCATTATTATTATTATTATTATTATTACCATTTTACAAATGGGGAAACTGGGGCTGAGAGGTTACCTGACTTGCCCAGGATCACCCAGCTAATAAGTGACTGAGGCAGGATTCAACCTCGGGTCTTCCTGACTCCCAATCCAGAGCCCTATCCGTTGTATCACCAGCTACCAGTTAAAACAAAATAAGAACAATGTTGCTACAAAGCGGCAATACAGTTAACTGCCAAAAAAAAGAGAAAGGAGGTGGGGAGGAAGAGGGGATTTCCATGATTTCAGAGGTGACAGACCAACAGCAAGTGGTCATGGAGAGCCTCATGGAGGAAGGACTTTGAAGATCAGCTGATTTTGACTGACCAGAAAGGAGAAGGGAGCAGGGAAGGTAAATGAGCAGGGGCAGTAAGATCTTTGCTTCACACGCCGGAGGGTCTAATCATACTCCCCAAACATGACTGGCTGTACCCCATGCCTGGAGTGCTCTCCCTTCTGACCTCCCCTTCTTGGAATTTCTAATTCCTTCCAAAATCTAGCTCAAGCTCTGCCTTCTATATGAAGCTTTTCCTGAACCTTTCCAGCTGCTAGGGCCTCCCTATTTATTTTGTGCATGTTCTGTTTATAATGCATACATACATACAAACACACGTGTAGGTGTACATGCATGCATGTGTACATATACAGGCATATATACATGTATATATATCCATATGCATGTGCATCTCACATACATGTGTATATAGGTGTGTTGCATTGTAACCATGTGTGTAAAACATGTACATGTACACATGTGTACACATGCATACAATACACATGACTATGTGGTTGCATGTATGAATGCATTGTAAAGTGCATGCGTGTATATACAGCTATATATGCATGTATGCATAAGCATATATAATGTGGATCTTTACATAGGTGTATGTACACATATATGTATGTATTGTCTAGATACAGATATATACAGCCATTGTCTTCCAGGTTTCCTCTACTGAACATTAATACTCAAGCCCATAGTTAGTTGTCAGTGGAGAAAAATGCTACAGGAATGTGGACTGAACCTGTCATTTCATTGGTACAGGAACTTCTAGGTAAGGAAACTCCCTCCACCAAAACTGGTTGGCCACTCTGCAACTTAGAGACTTAGAGAGCTTTAAAGGTTAAGGGATTTACCCAGGGTCACACAGCTGGTACGTGTGAGAGGCCAGACTTGAGGCCAGGTCTTTCTGGGTATGAGGCCATCTCTCTCTTCGTAGTGCCCATTCCTATCCTAGGGGAATGTTCTGAGATGGTATGTGATTAGAAGTGACTAAAATTCACTTCCTGAATTATCACTCCCAGTTCTCTCTATAACTCATGGATGTCATGGGGTAGGAAAGTGTCCTTCTTGCCAAGATGACAGGCTTTCATTTGCTGTTCTTTAGTCTCCCCATATGCTTTACCATCTCTGTCCATGTGATAATGTTTTCCTTACCCAGGCTTTTATGATGTTTCTACTAAATGAGGCACTTATATAAGTTCTGCATTAATTGCTTTTTGTCAAACAGATTATCTGAGCCAATGGCAAAACGCTTGCCAGTCAGGGCTCTGCTTTAGCCCAGCCTACAGTCACTTTCTTCACTAAAACATTTTTATATTTGCCCTTATTACTGAAACATGGCAAGCAACTCACATCTGAAAGAGGATGGTGGCTATACAGTTACACAGAACAATTTGCAAATGGAAATAAGGGGAGAGATGGAAGAGAATATTTACAATAGACTTAAAGATGAACAGGTTATCAGTGAGAGGTGCTCAAACTCTTGTATATTTACCAGGAGCTTCAAATGAAGATGAAAAAAAAATCTTAAAAATTGAGAAGAAAGGAATTAAGAATCCCAACAAGAGTCAGACTGAAATCAAGTTCTGGTGACATTTAAAAGAGATTTTTAAAAACTGAGTTAGCAAGAGGATGTACAAGACATATCTGTACCGTGTTGAATCAGTAAACTTCATTCTCAACATGGGAAAAAAATGAGGGCATGATTTATAAGGAAGAGAAAGAGCCTCACAAAATTGAAAGATATTTTCTCCCAGAATGTTTGAATACTTGGAAGCAGAAATGGAAGAAAAAGGTAATACACAGTAACTGTGATAACCACCTAATAAAACGTAAATGCCTTTAGAATCATCCATAGTACAAGAAGGCATTTGCCTGTCTCTATCTGGGAGACCTTTTTTTTTCCTAGTTTCATAATCTTTTTAGTCAAGAAAGAGAGTGTACTTTCTATATGTCTCAAAATCTTTACCTCCATTTGAAGAGCCTCTTCAGCCATGATACCCAATATTCTGACCCTCTTGAGACCACTGCACTGCTTAATGTGATTCCAGGCTATAGAGTGGCCCTCAAGTTCCTGTGAAACCTGGCACATTGGTACAAGTCTGCCCATCTTAAAGCCTAGACTGGATAACATGTGATTATTGCTTTCTCACTATCAAAAAGGAAGTTTCCCCACTTTAATCATCGAATATGGAGGATTTGAACATCCATCTGTTTGTTTTATAAAATATTCAATCTTCAATATGGAAGAAAAAATCCCAGAAAACATGGATGTGGAACAACTTGAGGATGGGGTGCCCTATCTTATACATCGTCATTTCGCTACAAAATAACTTTGAGTCAGTCCTGTAAGTTAAAGTAAATGAAATATTTCCCTGGAGATGGGTTTTTTTTTTTTAGTCTTCAAAAGAACCAGTCCTTCCTATTCACTGATATAAAGTACATTACTTAATGGATACTCCATTCCAATAGAATAGTGAAAAATTCTGCTCTCACAGGACTGGAGTTCCTATCTCATTGTGTCTATTTCTGTACATTCACTTAATGAAACACTTAAAAATAACTAATGCTGCATGGCCCCAAATCTATCAGCTAATTGGTCAACAATCAGTCAATAAGAACTTATGTGTTAGACACTGTGCTAACCACGGGGTTAAAAAAAAAAAGCCCAAAACAAATAAAAATCCAAACCCCAGCTCCAGTCCTCAAGAAGGATACATTTGATTAGGAGAGACAACACGTGAAAAATGAGCTACATACAAGAAACATATAGAGTTAAGTCAATCAGAAAAGAGAAAGCAACAGCAGCTGGATGAACTAAGTTAAAGCCTCCTCTACCAGTTCTTCCAAACCTTGCTGTTCCCTCCTCAAACTTCCCATGGCTCTACCTCACTCTACCCTCTCAGCTAAGAATCATGTCTTGTACTTTACTGAAAAAAACTTGCATTTCTCAAGAAGCCTCTTTTCTCCCCTCCTCATCTCACATCACCCAGATGCCTTTTGCCACTATCTTCTTCACCCATCTCACATAATGTGGTGGTCCTTCTCCTTCCTGTGGCATATACAGGTGATCCTATCCCATCCCATCTTCTTCAGCAGACTGCCCATCCCTACTTTCCCACTAATCTTTAATCTCTCCCTTGTCTGCTTGGCTGCTTCCCTGCTGCTTATAAACACACCTGTTTCTCCCTCATCCTCAAAAAGCCCTCATGGGATCCATCCATCCTCACTAGCTTTTATCCTGTATCTCTCTTCCCTTATGTGGCTAAACTTGAGAAGGCTATTTACACTAGCTGTCTCCACTTATTTCCTCTCCCTCTCTTCTTAATTCTCTACAGTCTGGCTTCCAACCATACCTCATCATTCAACTGAAACTACTCCCTCCAAAATATTTCCAGTTTCTTAACTGCCAGATGTAACGGCTTTTTCTCAATCATAATCCTTCTCAACCTCCCTGTAGCTTTTGATACTGTCAATCACTCTCTTCTAAATATTTTTTCCCTGTAGGTTTTCAAGACACTGCTCTCCTGGATTTCCTCTTGCCTATCTGAATGTTCCATCTTAGTCTGGAAATTGCTGGAAACTCATCCAAGTCTTGCTCACTAACCTTGGGTGTCCCACTGGGCTCTGACTTGGGCTCCTTCTACACTATACTAAACTGTACTGTACTGTACTATAATCTATCTATCTATCTATCTATCTATCTATCTATCTATCTATCTATCTATCTACCTATCTGCTCTCTATATTATTTCACTTGGCAATCTCATCAGCTACCATAGATTCAATTATCATCTCTATGCTGATGATTCAAATTTACTTCTTCAGTCTCATATCTCCAACTACCATTGGATGTATCAAACAGGATTTCCTGTACACATCTTAAACTCAATATGTCCAAAACTGAACTCATTCTTTCCCCCCAAACCATTTCAACTTTCAAATTTCTCCACTACCTTTGAGGGTACTGCCAATCTCCCAGTCACCCAGATTCACAACTTGGGTATCTTCCTTGACTCCTCACCCTCTCACTCCTACTCCCACCCCCATATCCAATTTGTTGCTAAAGCCTATCAGTTCTGCCCTTGTAACATCTCTTGAATAGGCCTCTTTCTCTCCCTGGCACTGCCAAACCCCTGGTCTAGGCAGGCTCTCATCACTTCATACCTGAACTATTGCAACAGGCTGCTGGTTAGCTCCTTGCCATATGTCTTCACTCCAGTCTATCCTCTACTCAGCTGTCAAACGGGGACCATTGTTACCCCCCTATTCAATAAACTCCATAGGCTGTCTATCACCCCTGGGGTCAAATTAGAAAAATAAAAAACAAATACAAAAACCATTATAAACACCCAAATGAACTACAAAGGACATACGAAGGAAGACTGTATCCAGAGAAAGAACCAATAAATAGAAATACATATAGAATACATACATATACACACATATTTGTGTCTAATGATACCCATCTTTAGGGCAGGAGGGGGAATGAAAAAAGGGGAAAAAAGAAATTTACATGATGCTATATTTAAAAGGAATAGCTAGGTGGTGCAGTGGACAGAGCACCAGCCCTGGAGTCAGGAGGACCTGAGTTCAAATCCAGCCTCAGGCACTTGATACTAGCTGTGTGACGCTAGGCAAGTCACTTAACTCCAATTGCCTAGCCAAAAAAAATGAATAGCAAGTTGTACATAATAGATTTGCAGTTTCACGTGTAATCATCTTTTTTTATTATACTATGTTATGGAAATGCTTATTTTATTCCATAAATTAAAAATTAAATAAAAATTAAAAAAACCTACCCCCTCAACTTTTCCAGTTTAATTATACCTTGCCCTTCTCCTCCCCAGTATATTCTTCAATCCAGTGGCAGAGACAAAAGCGAGCAGGCTGTATGCTAAGGACAGAACACCTTCCAGGATGGAGCCGAGATGCTGTACGTGGTCTTAACTGGGTCCTTTGGCCCCTGTCCAATTAGCCAGACCGTGTCAGCTCTGGTTTTTAACAGAATTGCTGTTCTTATAAATGCATGGCTATAAAACATCCCAGGAAGTTTGAATCAAAGTTACTACAGAAATTAAAAGCATAATTTTCACGACCTGAAAAGCCTTGGCACCAAATAAAAAATGTGTTTAATCTCTAATGCAGTGAAAAGGCCCATGGGTATGCACACACATGTGTGCCTAAGTGTGAAATATTTCCTCCTTACCTGAGCTTCGAGGACATTCACCTTTTCTTTCAGAGTCTCAATCCTTTTATCTTGTTCTTGTACATCATTTTTTAATCCTTCCATCTAAGAATTAGGAAACATAAAGGAGAACTTTTTGCAAGTCTTATCAAACCACAAGGAATACTTATATAATTCAGAGGTCATGCACATTTTACAACTAAATGATTTTCTTAACAGAGGAGATCCTAGGTATTAAAATACATAGCAGGTTTTACACACACACACACACACACACATATATACACACACATATATACACATACACACATATGCATATATATATATATATATATACTTTTTTTTTTAAGTGGACAACAGAAATAGCTTCTGGAGACTTGGACAAAGGCTTATCTTTCAGAGATTTGAAATTGGGGGTTTGGTGAGGTTGATTTTTCACATCATTTCTTTTCCAATTAAATCCAGCTCTCTGGAGAAATCATTTGGAATCTTAGTGTTTCTCTGCAACTGAAGTTTTTCTGGCCCACAAATCACTACCTAGTAAGGCCCTGGAAGGCCAATGCCTGGTACACTGTGTCTATTAAGAGCTTTCTAGTCACCCATAACTTTATTATAACAGTGCTCATTGCCTGAGGAGAAGATAATTTGCCCAGAGATACTGGAATATAGGCTCCTTCAGGGAGCATTTGGTTTTGTATTATTGCCAAGCCAATGCCTGACACACAGTAGGTGCTTAGTAAATGTTTGCTGGGGGTAGGTAGGTGGCATAGTAGATAGAGTACTGGCTCTGGAGTCAGGAGGCCCTGAGTTCAAATCCAGCCTCAGACTAGTTGTATGACTCTGGGCAAGTCACTTAACCACAACTGCCTCACCAAAAAAAATGTTTGCTGAATTTAGCCTGGTGTAGGAAAAAGGACATTGGACTGAGCGTGATGAGACATGCGTTTACCCTTGGACAAATCACCTCACCTCCCTGAGCCTCAGTTTCCACATCTGGAAAATGATATTTTGGGGCCTAGATCATCCCTAAGGTCCCTTTCAGGTCCAACATTTCAAGACTGTGCTTTACAGCCCTTTGGTCACTTTGCCCCATCAATTACAGAATGCCATGGTTATTTTCCACACAGGCAGGCAGCTTGAGCTAACAATTAAGACGTCTCATCTACCTCTTCTCTTTAAGAGGTAAATATCAAGGAGTTTTTTTTTTTAAGGTTTAACATTTCAAGTAGATTGATCACAATCAATGAACTGGTCAGTCTTGAAGACCTGCATGGGCCACATTCTTGGCTGGTTGACTCAGTCACTCTCTGACACCATGTCTTCTCTTTGGCTTACCAGAATTACCCTAGTAAGCAGCTGGCCTTTTCCACTGCACCTACCTTCTAAGTCATCAAAAGCCTGAGAGGAAATGAAAACCAGTCCCTGCTCTAGCTGGAAATCTTGGATCTATGTGACATCTGAGGAGTAGCCTAGGACTTCCAGACTTGATTCTTTTTTAATATCAGCCAAGAGTTTAAAGAACAGTTAAACACTATTTCCAAAGTGCTCCATGCCAACCACAAGCAAAAGGGGCCAGGATGCATTTAGCAATGCAGAGGGAATGTCAGTGAGGGGAAAACTTTCATTACTTTTATAGCCCAGGCATGCCACTCCTATTTGTTCTTCACCCAGTAAACATTCCATCTCTGGAGAAAGACACTTGATTAAACTGACCTCCTGGATCACACTGCGTAGGTTCTGATGTTGGGAATGAATCACAAACTGCAAATAGGAAATTTGCCTCTGGAGAGTGGAAATCTCTGTCTGAAGATCCTTACAACTGGGGAAGAAAAGGGAAAAAAGAAAATGATTTTGCCAATAATGACTTTTATAATTTGTTTGTAGTGGTTGTTCCTAAATTATTGACACATTATCCCCTTGCTAACTGACTTTCTGCAGGTGTATGATGTCAGGTATTTGCTTCATTTTGAGCAGAGTAGGTACCTATCCACTGGGGACTGGCTGAACAAATTGTGCTATGTTAATGTATTTTGAAAGGGTTTTTGAACCAAACCTGTCGTTTTCATCATGGGGAAAGGGGCTTCCAGGTGCAGATCTCCCTCAAGCAATACCGATCAGCACTTGCTCTGCCAGTGTTTACAGCCTTAGAGATATTCTTGGGGGAACTGAGAAGTAAAGGGCTTGCTCAGGGTCATATGGTCACCGGGTGCCAGAGGAAGGATTTGATCTCAGGTCCTCCTGCCACCAAGGCCAGCTCTAATTACCTCTCATATTAATGTAATGGAATATTACTGTGACATAGACAAACATGAGATCTGTATGAACTGATGGAAGCAGAACTAGGAAAACAATATTCACGACTACTGTAATACAAATAAAAACACTAAAAGGGAGCAAATGCTATGAAAATATGATGAGCAAGCACTGGAGAAGAGATGAGAAAATAGAACTTCCTCCTTTACTTGGATAATGCATAGGATCATAAAGTTTGAGACTGAAAGGCCCTCGAGGTCATCTAGTATCATCCCCTCATATTATAAATGAGGAAACTGAGGCTCAGAGAAATTAAATGACTTGACCAAGGTCATACAGGTAGGGAGCGGCAGAGATAAGATTCATACCCAAAGCTTTTTCCATTGCACTATGCTGCTCCTCAGGTAGGGTACTATGGATAAGGAATGTTGCATATTCTGCCCAAACCAATCACTGTGTCACTTTTATTTACTACAAAAAAAAAAATTGCTCACTGGATGGGGAAGGAGGCATGAGGGAGTAGAATGATAATACCTGAAAGACTGTGATGTTAAAAAAAAAAGGCATAAAGAAAACTTTAAAAAAATAATTATAGTGGGAAAAACTAGGAAGCTGAAGGTTATAAAGAGAGAAAAAGATCAAATGAAATGTGGAGTTACACTGAAACAGGAAAAGCCTGGCACTAAGTAGGTGCTTAATAAATGTTTATTGATCAGCTGATTTGGTCAGATAAGATAATAAAATTTCAAAGACGGTAGAAGAAAAACTTGGGAAATAATAATTACGTAAATAAAAATTAAAGTAATGCAGAGGTTCTTTTTCACACTTTTTATACATACACACACACACACACACACAGTCAGACTGGTAAAGAAGAAAAAAAAAAGGAAAATGACAACTGTTGGAGGGGCTACGTGAAAAGACACATTAATGCACTTCTACTGAAGCTGTGAATTGGTTCAGCCGTTCTAGAAAACAATTTGGTTCCATCCCTAAAGAGTCACTAAAACTGTACATACCACTCTTCAACCCAGTGATACCCCTTCAAGGCCTATTTCCTAAAGAAATCAAAGAAAGAGTGAAAGGATCCATATGCATAAAAAAATTTACAGTTGTTCTTTATCATGGTGTCAAAGATCTAGAAACTGAGGGGTTGCCGAGCAGTTAGGGAATGGCTGAACTAATTATAGTATGTAAATGTAAATGAAATACTACTGTGCTATAAGAAATGATGAAAGGGATGGTTTCAGAGAAAACTAGGAAGACTTGTACAAACTGATACAGGGTGAAAAGAGCAGAACCAGAACAATGTATGAAATGACAACATTATAAAGACAGAAACCTCAAAAGACTTAAAAATTCCGATCAATGCAATGACCAGCCATGATTCTTGAGGACCAATGCTGAACCAAGCTACTCACCTTCTAACAGAAGCAATGAACTCAAAATGCAGAAGGAGACATACATGTGTGTACACACACAGACAGACAGACATTATTTTACTTGCCTATGTTGACTATATATTTGAGAAACGATTTTCTTTGTTTTTTTTTTCTTCCCTCCCCCAATGGAACAAAGATGAGAAAGTAAATTTTATTTCATTGAAATGTGTTTATATTATACATACATCTATATATACATGTGTATAGACATATATACATACACACACACCCCTACACACAGTATATATATACACACACAAACACATTATTATTTATTGGTTGGTTCCCAAATAAGGAAACTCCCTCTTATCAATGCAGGTCAGCACTTTCCCTGAAGGTGAAGTCTTAGAGAGTTACACAGAACTCTGACAGGTTAAATGAGGTGGTCAGAGTCAGACAGCCAATAAGCGTCAGAGGTGAGACTTTAACCCAGGTCTTGCTGGCCAGTCCTCTAACCACTATACCACACTACCCCCAGCCAAGTACCTAGGATACAAAGAAGAAGTAAAAATTGTCTAAGGAATTTACACTCCATTAGAGGAGACAGATAGGCACATCATTATGTACCAAAGATAAATACAAAGTAGATGAGGGCTTTTTCTTGTGGACAGTGCTGTGACCTGTACATTTTCCAGATGAAAAAACAAAAAACAAAAAACTATAGGAGTTGTTTATGCACCAGTCTGACCTAATATGCCCTTAGAAACTGCCTCAAACCACTTCTGGACTGAATTCAAAGCTCTGTGTTTAGATTTGTAAAATGTAAAAAGTTAATGCTGGTAGAATTGCCAAAGGCCAATACATGGAATGTTTTCCCTTCTGTCCCCCGAACGCATAGCAAATACTGGAAAACTGGAAGGTGGGGAGTGATTGGGAGAAAAACTGCATATAAAAATTTTGCAAGGTTCTGACTGCCATCCTCGGTACCGACTAGAAGCATTTTGGCAGGATTTACCGTAGAGAAATAAAAAGGAAGCCTTCCCTCAACAGTTTACTAGTGATTGCTAAGGAATGACCAACCTTGTCAGCTCACCATGATGACAATCACTCATCTATAAAAATATCACTTCATATGACAGAATATTGACTGAATGGAATAGATTAACTGTAGGTCTGACTGAGATGATATATATTTCTTATGTTCTTGTATGTTCTTAATTGTCTCGGGATAATCATTTGGGAGTCTTTAAGTTAGAGGAAGTCCTCTAATACCTTGTAGTGAACTTCTGGGAGAATGTGGACAAAAGTTCCACAAAGGATGGGTGCCTATGGATGGACTAAAACCTGCATCTTTGGAGGGAACTCCCAAATTGATGATACCACAGATCCATCTGAATAAGTTATAGGTTATGTAGGAAGGAAAATTATTGTATAATAAAAATAGTAAAAAGGCCAAAAAGAAGAAGGAGAGGTAATATGACTAAAGGAATGGAAAAAGGAAAGATTACATGAGGTGGAATCCAGTGACCCCAAATCACATGTCACAGGTTAATACTCCCAGGGATATACATTATGGCATGCTTTGCTGCCCCCAGGTAAATCCTTACATATTTCTTCCAAAACAGGGACCTGACCTTGACTTTAGAAGATTCTTGGGGCTGCTAGGTGGCACAGTGGATAGAGTTCTGACCTTGGAGTAAGGCAGACTTGAGTTCAAATCCAGCCTCAGATACTTGACACTTACAAGCTGTGTGACCCTGGGCAAGTCACTTAACCCCAATCGCCTCACCAAAAAGAAAAAAAGAAAGAAAAGAAGTTTCTTTCCCTAAATTTGCATATGTTCCCTAGAGCAACAAACAGACATTTCTGCTGAGTTATTGACAAAGCCCTTTACAACTAGCAAAATCTAATTAGTCAATTTCTTCTGATGTAATAGGTGCCATCTAGCCCTAAAAATGGTCCTAGGATCATAGGATCCTTGATTAGAGTTGGTGTTTTCCTACAAGATACTAGAAATTGATATGCATATGAAATTTTAAAATGCCGTATTGAATCTGACTAAATCTATGTTTAGAACAGCATAATGGAACCTCAGCAATGAGAGTTTTTTTCCTTATCATTTTGAAAAGCAATGTTTCCAACTTTATTCATATATATAGTTTAAAAAAATACAGTTACAACAATCAGTGATACCTACATTCTGTAGAAATAGCTGGCTGTTCAAACATCTTACTGGAAACATGAAGCATTTGAACACCACAATGAAGCCCATAAAACCTCGTAAAAGTGACATTAGATTTAGTTATAAATACTGTGAACACTTCAGTTGTTTTTAGAAAAAAAAATGGTTAACAGTATAAGCTCTGTTCAAACGCTATTGAAACACTGGTTCTGATGGCAAAATTAAACTTAAACATAATCCACTTCCATCCTAACCCCAGCAGCCATCACCCAGGGATCAAGCCTCATGAAGAAAGAAGCCCGCCACCACACCAACGGCCTCCAATGGGACAGACAAGCCTGTCTACTTGAAGCAACAAGGTGTCCTCAAAGAGAAACAGAAGATAGCTGGGTCAAACCACCACCACCACCACCACCACCCTTCAGATCCCAGAGGAAATGGCCTGGACTCAAAAGCCCTGGGAATGGCAGCATTTTCCTCCATCATCCCCCCCAGCCATGAGCTCTGCTTCCATTTAAGGCCTCATGATTATCATCAAGAAAAACATCCACTGTGGAGAAAGGGGGTTGCCATCTTCACTAACATCAATTACCAACTGAGGACCAACTTCCACCTACAGAGATGTAAAGAGCCCCAAGAAGAGCAGCCCCCCTTCCCAGACCACTAGTTCTCATTGCAGTCTGGCTCCCAAAGTCATTGTCCAGGGGAGCAATCCTTCTGGAGATGCAATCTAGAAACTAATTGCTTCTGTGGGTGCTGAAGCCCACACCTCCTTAAATGTCAGTCCTACTATGTGCCAAGCACTGTGCTAAGCACCATAGCTACTGAAGATCCCCAAAAAAGTTCTTACCATGGTCCCTGGCACCATCAGTTTTTAATGGAAATGACAATGAAGAAGATGCAATAATGATTGGACTTCCTTGACAACACCTCACACTATATATCCCTCCCACCTTTTCCAGACTTCCTTCTCAGTCATTCGCTCTCTCTCTAGTTGCTGCCTATGTCTTTGTCTTTCCCTATTACCTTCAAACATGCCGACGTTTCCCTCATCTTAAAAACAAAAACGAGATCATTCTCTCATTCAGTGCTTGCAGTATCATCACTCAAATAAAACTTTTCTCTCAAAAGATACCAATGAGCTCTTAGTCGCTAAATCTAACAGTTTTTTTTTTCTAAATCTCCATCCTTTTGTATCTATCTGCTGCATTTGACACTGTCAATCACCCATATCCTCCTGGATGCTTTATCTTCGCTGGTCTCCTACCAAGCTGAGAGCTCCTTCTCAGTCTCTTTTGCTGGCTTATCATCCATATCAGCCCCCCAAATATGGGTGATCCCCAATACTATGTCCTTGGCCCTCTTCTCTCCTCTCTCTATACTCTTTCTTGGTGACTTCATCAATTCCCTTAAGTTTAATTATTATCTCTAAGGAGATGAGTCAGGTCTAGATATCCAAATCCAGGCTCTCACCTGAGTTTCAAGTCTTCATCATCAGTTATCTTTTGGACATTTCAAACTGGAGGTACCAGAGTCATCTTTAATTAAATATATCCAAACCTGAATTCATTATCACCCATCCCAAACCCACTGCTCTTTATGAAATGCTCATCCTTTGCAAATAATGCCCTCTTCCCATTTACCATGGGAGATGGTAGGGTTTTAAGGAAGTCATTTAAGAGAAATGATTTGCAAACCTCTTAGCATTTTTAGAGTTCAGTCTGAGCTGCTCCAATTTCATTTGCAAAGATGCTTTTCTTTCCAGCAATAATTTCTTTTCCTAAGGAAAAAAGAAGATGCATTTTTGAGATATTCTTTTTTTACTGCTTATAAAACACATTTCTTGATTATGTCAACAATGACAGTAATAAAGATATATGGCTCTTTAAAGTCATATCATGCTATGGCCACTTATCAAAGATATTGGCAGAAAACAAATGAATGGAAAATAGAACAGATTTGTCTGTAATGATCTTCATCATCAATGACAGTGGAACCACCCCCTTTGGACTCTGCTCCCTCAGCCTCTGATGTGTTGCAATAGGAGGAAGTTGAAATAGGACCTAAGACAACAAAAGCAAGAATAGTAGCTGGGGGCAGCTAGGTGGCACAGTGGATAGAGCACTGGCCCTGAAGTCAGGAGGACCTGAATTCAAATCTGACCTCAGACCAAACACTTGACACTTACTAGCTAGGTGACCCTGGGCAAGTCACTTAACCCCAACTGCCAAAAAAAAAAAAAAAGAATAGTAGTCGGACCAGATCAGACAAAGTATACCCAGGAAATCCATGTTGGAGACAACATAATTTTGAAAACATTAAAGGATCATTTTACAACACACCTCAGGGAACAGAAGATGCCAAAGGAATCCATAGCTTGTGTTCAACAGGTAATCAAGGAAAGATTAATAAATATGGAACTATTTGCCTACTTTTAAAATTTTTTACAGAATCTTTACAAGAATGATTTACACACACTGAGGGTATCCTTTGTGAAAGTATGATAAAGGAATAGGCAGGCTTTCATAAATTATTTTCCATAGCTGGCCACAGTTTTATAGTTACACAATTGACTAAAACCTTTAGATTATATGAGATTCCTCTCTTTAATATTTATTTATTATAAAAAGGCATTCAATTTGGCAGAACAAAACATGGTCTTAGAAGTTTCCCTCCAAAAAGGAATCTCATTCATGCATTAAGATCATGCAGAAAAATGTATGGAGAAACAAAAGAGTTAGAATATAAAGAGAAATAATGAAGAACAACAACAAAAAAAAAAGAATTGAAGGGTGAACAGCACACTTCTAGACCTCAAGCTATATCATAAAGCATTAAATACAAAAAAAGCATTTGGGTTATTGGCTAAAAAGCAGAAAAGCAGATGTGTGAAAAAGACTAGGCAAGAATCAGAAATAAATGAACCCAGGATTCTATAAACCTAAAAGCATAATTTCCTAGGAAGAATTCCTTATCTGATAAAAAAAAACTTCTGGGAAAAGGAACATAGCCTATCAGAAATTAGGCTTAGACTGGCAACTTAAACCATATTCCACAATAAATTCAAAATGGATATCTGTACATTAAAGATCTCACCATAAAAAAATAAGCAACGCAAGTGATGTACCTTTCACAGCCACAGGTAGGGGATGAATTCATAACCAAACTAAGAGTAGAGGTAATTACAGAAGATAAAATATTACACAAAATGAACAGCTTTTACACAAATAAAATTATCACATCTAGGACAATATATCTAGGGAAGTGGTCAATGAGGAAAAGTATATCAAATATCTCTAATAAAGATTTTATAAATATTGAAGATATACATACGTACACATACATATATACATACACATATAACTAACTGAAATATATATGATGGAAAGACATCCTCCAATAGAAGAGGGAGCAATGGATATGAACAGTGTGCAAATTATGAACAACCATATGAAAGAATGTTCCAGATCAGTAATAATAAGAGAAGTGCTAATCAAAAGAAACCTGAGGTTTCACCTCATGCTCAAATCGGCAAAGATGACAACAGAAAGGAATAGTCAATGTTAGAGGATTTGTGGAAAGTCAGGCCCACTAATGCATTCTGATGGAGCTGTGAACTGGTACAATCATTTGGAATTTAAAATATAAGCTCTTTGAAGGCAGGGACTGTCTTTTTTGCTTGTATTTGTATTCCGAATGCTTAGCACAGTGCATAGAACATAGTAAGTGTTTAATAAATGCTTGTTGACTGAATGAATGACTGAATCACAGTAGTCAGTTTCCTCAAAGATAAAAAATTATTTTTAAGAACCCCATATAGGAGAAAATATACACAGAACATCAAAAGGGGGGGGGAAGTACCATAGCTTAAATATTAACCAGTTCCAGGCTCTAAAGAAACCAAATTACAGCCTTGGTGTTAAAAACAAACAAAAAACCTCAATAAACCAAAAACCCAATCCATCCTAGTTAGGTTTTAATGGTCATGTTTATTATGGAACTTGGAATGTCAGACTATCGAATCAGACTACTGTCTGTTGAATGGTAAAAGGAAACAAAACAAGACACAGGGAGGTGACAGCATTGGTATAAACAGAGCCATGGGTAGCACAAGAGGGAATATCATTTTTAACTCGTAATACTTTAAGTGGTATCTTTTTGGGACAAATGGTGAAGACAGGCTGTTTAAAATTAACTTGTTATATAGCATATTTTGTCATCCTTGCCAGTTTGTCGAGTGTGAGGTGAAACCTCAGGCTGCTTTGATGTGTGTTTCTCTTATCATTAGTGATTTGGAACCTACTCTCCTAATGTTTGTTAATAATTCACAATTATGCTTTTCAGATCTGTCTCTTAATATTCTTTCGCCACTTAGCTATTGGGGAATGCTGATTAGTCATATACACACAATCCATATGTGTGTGTGTGTGTATGTGTGTATGTATATGTGTATATATATGTATATATACATATATATTTGCACACAATTATATAATTACATGACTCACATGTAACCTATAATCTTTTACAAACAATGAGCTGGGCCCAGAATTGAATAGGTAGAAGAAAAGAGAGCTGAATTGTATCTGGGAAACTTTGGAGTGCATTTAATGATCCCAAGCGGTTCCTTAACCTCAAAACCAATCTTTTAAAACACTAATGTTCTCCCAATGTGGCCATATGGAACTTTTTCAAGTTTCTTTATAGTGCTAGACCTACCACTGTCTATATAAAATATACTTATCAAGTATTATAGCTCAAGAGCTTGATGGTACTTCAGAGACTAATAAACGCACATAAATATGCACGTAGACACAGGAAGGAAAAGCAGTGGGTGGAGTAGAGAACTGGTCTGGAGGTCAGGAAGACCTGGGATCAAGTCTCGCCTCTTACACATACTGACTATATAGACCCTGGATTAGTCACTTCTCAGTGTCATAGGCAGCTCTCTTAAGATGAAGAAGGTGCTCACTGGCATAAGTAGAGCAAGGGTCCTCACCAGGGAGTTTTCTATGCCAATAGAATCACAGAACTAGTCCTAATCCAAATGTGTGTGTGTGTGTATGAACATAATCCAGCATCTAAAGCGCCTATAATCTACAAATTCCATTTAAAAATGTATACAATATGCCCCTCAAATTCAATATTGTATTCAAAGCATAATGGGAAGGGATGTGTATTTGTATGTGTATATGTACTCTCACATACATACACATGCATATATTATATACTGTATATTAATTTGTATGTAATATGTACATGTATGTGTGTATAATATATATGCATCAACTATATATCTACATATTACATAGATTGCATATCAACATGTGTATAAAATATATACACATATAATGGTATATATTATTGTATATAGAAACATTATTATATATTAATGTATTATATATCAACCCACAATAACATACATAATAATATATGCGTAATATATGTACATGTATAATATATACATAATCTATACCCAATAGCGTCCTGAGGTCAACTGGGACGAATATTCATGCTAAAGAAAAGTCCCTTTCTATAATATATGTATATTGCAAAGGTAAACACATATGTGTGTATACACATTATATATACATAAATATATATTCATATTATGCATGTGTACAACATACACATGTTGCATGTTAGTATATTATATATACTAATATATACATATAATAATACATACAACTTATGTAAACTAAATCCATATATGTTCCATATATATTATATAGAATAATATACATATACATACTACATACATATGTGTATTTTGTTGTTATTAATTTGCTTCAGTCTTGTCTGACTCTTTGTGATCTCATTTGAGGTTTTCTTGGCAGAAATACTGGAGTGGTTTTCCACTTCATTCTCCAGATCATTTTACAAATGAGGAAACTGAGGCAAACAGGGTGAAGTGACTTGCCCAGGGTCACACAGGCAGTATGTGTCTGAGGCTGGATTTCAACTAAGGAAGATGGGTTGATGACTCCAGGACCAGCACCCTATCCACTGCACTATCCAACTACCCACATATGTGTATATGTGTTTATTATATATGTATATGTATGTATGTGTATATACTGTATATACACTAAAATTTATATTATATATTAAATATGTAAATTAAATTATTTAAATTTAAATTACATGCATTTAGATTTAAAATCGGTATGTGTATATATACATGTATGCATATACATGCATGTGTGTATACATGTGTGTATATATGTATTGTGTATATATTTAAATTTTAGTGTCATGGAAATGATTTTTTGGCATGTATATTCTTCCCAGTTAACCTCAGGACCCTACTTGGGCAACCCCCCTCAATTACTAAGAATTAGCTCGATAATCAGAGTCCAAGGTCTAGCAGTGACCTTGACTATACATTTGGGGTTTGCCTCACCTTTAAATGTTTCCACTCTGGCAAGCCGAAAGTCCCAGGGTACACTGTATTCTCCAGTCCGCTGTCTTATTTAGACAAAGTTACTCTTGAAAGTCAAAGGTGGCCCACAGCACCACCTTCTGGGCAGGCGAGGATGAGGGAGATTTCAGCTCTTTTCCTAGCTCCACCATCCCCACCTTTATCTTCATCTACGTTCTGGCTCTCCTCTAATACTTCTTAGGGATGGATCAAAGGGGCTAGAGAGCAGCATAGGAGATACAGAAATGGCCCTGGAGTCAGAAGCCCATTCCTCTGATACCTGCTATCTGGGTGACCATGGACAATCATTCAACCTCTCAGTGATCCAGGACATATAATGCATCTCAACTACTCAGTGC